CAACTCTAAAACTGCAAAAAAATCAAAGCCAAAAGTCTGAACAAGTTGTGTTTCAAATTTTAGGTTGATATCTCAAAAAATGAGCTTTCATGGGATTTTGTTTGTGCGCAGTACCAAACGTTTTCACTAGATGACAACCAGACTCCATTACTGCCCATATAAGGGCGCCTCCATTTTCTTATGTGTTTTGAGTGATCTGAACCATTATTTCCACAATTTTCATACAATTTATGAAGTAGACATCCTATTCAGAAGTAATATGAGAAGTTTGGCAGATTTTGATATGAATTGAACCTCTAAGAAACACACAAAAAGAACACGCATGTGCGTTATAGCTTCCTGCAACAAATGGTGAATCTATCATTTTTTTCTTAATATTAAAAAAAAAAATCAGACCTTTTTTTCTAAAATAATTGAATGGATGCTATCTTTTGAACTCTTGGCATGAAAACAAACTGAGGTTTCTACCCTTTTTTCATGTTTTTTTCATGTTCATCACTATTTCAAAATAAAGATCTAAACACGCCTTAGGAGTATGAAAATAGTCTTGTAGCAAATTGATAAATTACGGCTCCTCTGTAATTTATTTTTGAAAATCAATCACCAAATATGGAAACTAGAGATTGTAAGCTTTCAAATGATATATAGTTTGTCAAGATTAGTTTAGGTTTAGTATAGGATATTACTGTTTTAAAAATGTAATGGATTTGTACCCACCGGTGGGCCGGTGACACTTAAGGTTAATACCAGGAGTAAACAAGGCCTTAGATCCAATGAAGGACCCACCCTATACATCATTTTATAAATGAGGCCCTAGAATATCATAGAGACCATAACTATAACGATAACTATATTAGCGTCCACACCAACACATGATATCATTCTGCTTATTATATATGCGTGCTCCGTTTTGACGTCTGCTGCTATTAACCTTTTTCCTGACGAGCCTATACTGTGTTTTAGATTATGAGAGCCACTTCCGGTTTGGGGAAGTTCCACTCAAAAAGACTGAAACAAATCTTTTCAAATCATTAGGTTGGGCTACAAGTAATCTTTATCCATAAGTTTGACTGAATGAGCTGTAAAATTTCATTCAAGTTCAGACTTTAAGTGAATAACATAACGTTTGGTATTTTAACGTGCCGTGGAATGACATGAATATCTATGGAAAAGCTTCTCAGTCGCTGAATCCTTTTCCTCCTGATTCTCTTCTTTATTCATTTGTATTCTCCTCCTGTAACAGAATGAAAAAGGACAACATAAACTGCGCATTTGTGGTCTGCTCTCCCGATTTAATTCACAATATATGCCATGAATAATTCACTGGAATGCAATGATCTCTCGTTTTTCTCCCCAAATCCTCACGTCTATTTCCAGGTTTGTTTTCACTCGGATGCTTTAAAATGTAATCGCCTCCACTTTTCACTTCTAATCCCTATTAGCAGTGTTTACTGGAATCTTTCTAAAGCAGGTCAATCTGTCAAAATTATGGAAATCACTTTAAAATATTATCACTCAATGTTCCAGTTAATGAACATTTTAATTAAGGCGTTTTGTTATACAGTGTAAGACAGATAAAACTGTGATATTTAACACGCCGTTATCATTATAGTTGTGATGTGGATTCTGCTATTGTTTTATATTTAGAATAATTTTTAAAACTATAAGATTCCAGCGACAAGCCAATCATGTCCACATCAGACACGATATGACTGTGAAACTCACAGCCAATCAGAAGAGCGCGTGGGCGGAGTCTGTCTTCAAGCGCACTGCACTCGCAATGAAACTGATAAAGTTCATAATCAAACTCATAAATGTGTGACTGAAACAATCTTTGCCACAGAATACACCTGTTTGTTCACATTGAGTTTGAAAGCTCTTGTTTCCTTTCATCTGAGGTGAATTATCCATTGTTGCTTTCAGTTTGGATAGAGGTCACGCAAAATTATATTCGAACTCACGTTAAATTCTTTTAACATTTAAATAAAGATCATAATCAGTACCTGAGATTATCATTACCATATTTTGCATCTTGTTGTTCTAACCGTCACGTCACAGTGTTTCTAAAAGAGAATCTCCTGACAACAACTGATTAACATGGAAAAGATACATTTTATTGCTTGTCGTGGCATCGTGTTGCGTCTGGTAAAGTGTAGGCATTGGTAACCTACATCAATTAATAACCACATAGATATGAACCAAAACACTCTGGACAACCAACCACCAGTAAGTGTAAATAAATAAATAATAGTGTGATTTCTCTCGTGTGTCTGTCTGAGTGTGCAAATAAGCAGAGGGATTCAGGAGTGAAGCTGCTTTCCAGAAAATAGCAGTTTTATTGGATAGCACATTGGTTTTGTTAGACTGACTCCATGTCTCTTCTCTTTGGTATGCGGTTTATGTATCTTGGATGCAGTCATGAAACGTTGTGTCACTGTGTTATCGCCTCCATCACTAAATATACACACACTTGTGTTTACCAGTCCATTTGGGTCGAGCCCTGAGGATGGGGAGCTCTGCTTAGGCGGGACGGTGTTTCCACGAGCAAATCAGTTTCAATACTTTTTGCAGTTGTGGCTCAGTATTGACAAGACATTACAAACTCACAATGGAAGAATCATATGGAAGAGTCATACATTCCCAAATGAGTAGTTCACCCAAAAATGAACAATTAATCATGTCATTCCAAACCCATATGAATTTGAAGAATGTTACAGTGACAAATTAGGCCTGTTCATCACACAATGTTATTGTATGACTTCAGAAGATTCGAAATGTATTGCACAAAAGTCATATGGACTAGTTTAATAATGCTTGTATTGTGCCTTGTAATTTTTCAGTCATTGTGTGGAAAGAGAACGGCATAAACAATCTGTTAAACATCAAATTGTTTGTTCTACACAAGTAAAAAAAGTAATGTTTGGAACGACATGTGATGGCACAGTATGTTTTTTTTTTTGTTTTTTTTTGGCAAACTTCCTTTTTAACATGTCAAAACTATGACGCATGAGGAATCCTCATCTTAAAGTAGGTCAGGATCTGATCAATTATGATTGACAGGCGGAGGATATTTGTAGCACATTCTTTCAGTTTTACTCAGGCTCTTTCTCTGTCAGTTCCAGGAGGTACTCCTGTCGTTTCTTACACAATCTTACTGACATTTAGGGACTTTTCTTATATCGTTTGGCGAACAGCGTGCGAAACCTGCAAACTCATGTCAGTGATAGACAAAGTACAGTATGTGAAGGTCAGGTATTGTTTTGGCAAGCAATGCGAGGTGTAGGTTTTCTTGGCTCACTTTAAACCGAGAGAAAGTTACCGCATTAATCCAGAGAGAGCTTTGACAAAACACTGTGCATTTCTAATGATTCAAGAATGCGCTTTGACTACAAAAACAAAATGATTTGCTGAAGATGGTTATCATCACTATTTTTATATTTTGTGAACTCATCACAGGGAAGAAGAATAAAAATCTTTGATACACGCACAGAAATAAAATGTTTTCTCATTTTGAACACGTGATGCATTATTAGGCACGTTATAGCATTTCAGGTTTTATGATATATGATTTTATGATACAGATTTACCATTGGGCCTAACTTGCTCAAGGCAGCTTGATATTGAGTAATTTTTTCAGATGACCTCTAGAAGTAGTTCAGATCATGTGTTGTGTTGAAAAACCATCAAAAAGGTGTTTCATGGTAAATTTAATAATAATAAGTTTTATTTATATAGCACCTTTCCATGGCTCAAGGACGCTTAAGAACTGAATGAATCAAAATGCAGCAGAAATGTCCTCATCTTATGGAAAAGAATATTTTATCAAAATCGTTCCACTTTTTCTTTATGGTATTTTCTTGAATCTTGGTGTGTAATAAAAAAAAAAAAATACGACATAAAACATCCGTAAATGTGGAATAAAAACTAAAACCATCAACATAGTCAAGAAATAGCCCTACATGCAAAGAATGACTCATAATTGCTCAAGTTCCATATAAATAATAGTGACTTGCTTGCATTTTTTTTTTTAAATTATATTTCCAGTAAGTTGTCATTTCTGCAATGCTTAAGCCCCGCCCACAGTGAAAACCCATTGGTCCAAAATTCTGCTCCACACAGAAGAACACATTTCTTGTCTGGTTAAGACACAATGCAAATATTTACCTTTCATAAACTGTTCTTGCAGTTTAACCTTTGTGCCAACCATATTTTTCCCAGATTGTCAGCATCTCATGACAATGTTTACATATCCAAACAGACAGTTAATTAAGAATAGAATAACCATGAATCAGCATTTATTTGTATTATTTATTATTATATTATATATTATATTTATTCAGAAACTATAAAATATTAAAGTTGGCATTAAACAGATGTTTCGATAGTCTTTTCTTACCTATTGCGACGTATATCCGAGTGAAACAGCTTCTCAAACAAGAAAAAATGTAGGAGTCCCTTGCAACAGTAAACGCGTCATCAGAGAAATATACGTAATGCCAAATTCCATAATTTTTTTTTTTAATTGTCTTTTGATTTCATGGTGACTTTAAACTTATAATAGTCTTAAAATCCATTCCTGAGAACTTTATTTTGACTGTTCCAGATAATCTTGAATAAACTAGATCATTGTTCTGTGATCTGAATAACTTGAGAACGCCACCTTTTCCTGTTTACGTGAAATGAGTCTTTGTCACAAGTCTCCAATGAGATCTTATGTCTGAATTTGCACAAAATCTTGGTTACACTTTATTTTAAGGTGTCATAGTTACAGTGTAATTATACATTTAAGTACCGAGTAATAATAGTTAACTACATGTACTTACTATAGGGTTATGATTAGGGTGTGTTTTGTGGTTAGTTGCATGTAATTATGCATAATTTATAGTAATTACTATAGTAACTACATGTACCATGTGTAACATGGACAGGGTGAAATAAAGTGTTACTGAAATCTCTGTCCTGCAGAAAACCATGTTAAGTTGAAGCTCATTTCCCCACAGATAATGATCGAGTTCTGCCCCGGGGGTGCGGTCGATGCCACCATGTTAGGTAAGACTACAGTATATCTGCTAATGTTCTTGTTTTTATAAAAGACCCCTGCAGCTTCCTTTTGATGCTCATGGGTGAGTAGGTAAACGCCTTTATTTATCCTGAAGTTTAAACAGGATATTGCATTATTTTGGGTGTTTTATGAACGAGCCAGTCAAGGTCACTCAGAGTTCATTGCCTTTGATTACACCGCTTTGCCTCTTGACTCAGAGTTTTGTAGATTATGAAGAGGTCACGCTGTAGAACAAGACTTGCATGTGTGTGTATTTAAAGGAATAGAAATTCTGTCATCATTTACTCGCCCTCAAGATGGACCCCATTGACTTCCATCCATAGTATTTATTTTTTTGCTATACTATGGAAGTCAATGGGGTCCATCAACTGTCTGGTTACCGACATTCTTCAAAATATCTTCTTTTGTGTTCAGCAGAAAAAAAGAAATTCATATAGGTTTGAAACAACTTGAGGGCGAGTAAATGATGACAGAATTTTCATTTTGAAGTGAACTATTCCTTTAACATTGACAGAATTAACATTTTTTTGGAGAAAATACCCTTTAATAGTCTTAAAAACGGTTTATTTTCTGTATTGTATTGTATTATATTATATAATTTAATATATTTTTAATTATTGACGACAGAATTTTCATTTGGAAGTGAACTATTCCTTTAACATTGACAGAATTAACATTTTTTTGGAGAAAATACCCTTTAATAGTCTTAAAAACGGTTTATTTTCTGTATTGTATTGTATTATATTATATAATTTAATATATTTATAATTATTGATGACAGAATTTTCATTTGGAAGTAAACTATTCCTTTAACATTGACAGAATTACATTTTTTTAGGAGAAAATACCCTTTAATAGTCTTAAAAACTGTTTATTTTCTGTTTTGTATTATATTATATAATTTAATATATTTATAATTATTGATGACAGAATTTTCATTTTGAAGTGAACTATTCCTTTAGCATTGACAGAATTATTTTTTTTTAGGAGAAAATACCCTTTAATAGTCTTAAAAACTGTTTATTTTCTGTATTGTATTATATTATATTATATAATTTAATATATTTATAATTATTGATGACAGAATTTTCATTTTGAAGTGAACTATTCCTTTAACATTGACAGAATTACATTTTTTTAGGAGAAAATACCCTTTAATAGTCTTAAAAACGGTTTATTTTTTGTATTGTATTGTATTATATTATATAATTTAATATATTTATAATTATTGATGACAGAATTTTCAATTTGAAGTGAACTATTCCTTTAACATTGACATACGTTTCCTTTTTTTTTGTTGAGAAAATACCCTTTAATAGTCTTATAAACTGTTTATTTTCATTATTTTTCGATATTCTGAGATTCACTGGTGTTTGTGTGCGTCTGTAGAGTTGGACAGGGGTCTTGAAGAGCCTCAGATCCGGGTGATCTGTAAGCAGATGTTGGAGGGTCTTCAGTATCTCCACAGCATGAAGATCATCCACAGAGACCTGAAGGCGGGAAACATCCTCCTCACACTGGATGGAGACATCAAGCTAGGTGTGTGCATACAAAAATCTCACTGGATTATTACCATTAATGGCAAAAGGTTTACGTGAACTGATATTTCCTATATAAATAACTGGCTGAAAACCATTTTTTGGGGGTGAAAATACTAACGTGCCTAAGACTTAAGCACATTACTGTGTGTGTATGTATGTATATATATTAAGGGTGTCACGATTTCAATTTTAAATAGAAATCGACCGAAATGAATTCGTCGATGCTGCCACGCCCCCATGTCGCGTCTGGTCGGCGTGCCAAGCGGGAAAAAAACACGCGTGTTGAAGTGCTGCGAGTCTATGGTCAACCTCCTCTAACTTAGCTACAGCCATTCAAAACTTGAACAAAACTTAGAAGTGAACCGTCTACTCCTTCATTGAAGTCGCAGGTGTGGAAGTTTTTTGGATTTTCAGTGAGTTATGTTGACAACGTTCGCGCTTCAAAAAAGCCACAGTTTGCAGACATCACAAGTCTCGTGGAAGTTCAAGGGATAGTTCACTTTGAAATTAATTTTTGGTGTGTTTTAGCTTACCTCAAGGGCATCCAAGATGTAGGTGTCTTTGTTTCCACAGTAGTTTCAATTTTTATATTTTTGGAAGTGGTCTCTCGCGCGTGTACGTCACTCATACAATTGTTTTATTTTTAATTTTTTTTTATTGTTTTATTTTAAGACGGTTTAAACATCCCGGATAAGCGCAAATTAGTACCATTTTAATTAGCCGTCTTACCTACAATCTCTGTTCTGTGTAAACAATGAGTGACGTACACGCGCGAGAGATCACTTCCGGCGCTTTCCGGCGCTTGCCGGAAAAGACCGAAGCGCCGGCGCCCTCAGATCACTTGGACGTGGCTGTGGTTACAAGAGGTAAAAACGATATAAATACTGTTCGTTTTCTCACACAAACCGCTCGTTTCGTGTCTCAGGCCATCAATGTGTACTTACATTTACGAGTCATTAAATCATGTTTAATTTGGACTTCTCTGTGCATGCTCTTTGAGGTGGTGACCATAGACCTGCATTATATGACTGACAGACAAGAACGGTTTGACCTAAAAATATCAAAATTGAAACTACTGCGGACACAAAGACACCTACATCTTGGATGCCCTTGAGGTAAGCTAAAACATACCAAAAATTAATTTCAAAGTGAACTATCCCTTTCAGGGAGTCTCCCGCATATTGATAGCGGCTCTGATACCCGCAAATTAGTTCAAATCTCCCGGAATCTAGAGTGAGCGAGCAAGAGCGCGCATGCGAGACAGAAAAAACTGTGCGCGCACGGCAGAGAGGGAGAGAGCGAGAGACCTTGCGTGTGTGCCTCATGAAGCGCATGTAAGACAGAGAGCATCCTGATTGGCCGGTTTCGGCTTTAAAAAAATAAATGTAAAAATCGAGAATCGAATCGAAAATTTAATCGAATCGAAGATTTGGAGAATCGTGGCACCCCTAATATATATATATAGTAGGGCTGTCAGTTAGACGCGTTATTAACGGCGTTAACGCAAACCCATTTTAACGGCGTTCATTTTTTTTATCGCGTGATTAACGGTCTTTTTGGCCTAGCAAACTTTGTAGTTTTTTTTCACATGCTTTTGCAACAGGACGCGGCGCTGCGCTATGAAACCCATTCATTTCAATGGCTTGCGCCGCGCGAGGACGTTTTGAAAGCGCAAGCGGATCTTGCTAGACTGGAAACAAAACAAAAGGCACGCCGCACACACTTGTTTGGGCTTGCGAGCTGCATGCGAGCCGGCCAAATAGTTGGTTAACGTTACGTTTTGAGTGGATGACGAGCGCGAGACGCCGAAATGGATGCCAATAAGATTCTGAATGGAAAGTTTACTTTTAAAAAGTTGCCAAATGGTTCCATTGACAAGACCAAAGTGATCTGTGTGTTTTGTCGTTGTGAACTGAGCTATCATCATCGCAGCACGTCCAGTCTGAAATACCACTTTAACTATGACATTAATGCGATTAATCGCGATTAAATATTTTAATCGTTTGACAGCACTAATATATATATATGTTACTGCTGCCTGTCTATAACAGCATTTGCATCAGGTGTGCGGCTGTAATGCCTTAACATGTTGTCTAGATAGGCAGCACACTAGGTTTTGTAACGGAGCTGAAGTGTGACCTTTGGTTGAGCGTAGTGTTTTGTATCTGTGCTATTAGATCTCTTACTAATTCTTATGACCTCTCTCACACTTTCTCTCTCTCTCTCTCTCTCACACACACACACACACCACTGTATTGTTGTAGGTTGTGTTGTAAAGCACCACAGTTTGCCAAGAGCTGACTTATAATATTTCATTACACTTCTCTACTCAAGTCTCATTGGATTGAGTCATTCAATGAGAGCATGATTTCCTCTGAATGCTGTTTAACGTGTAACCGAATGTGGCTTCATTGTGTGTTGGCTAATGGCACCCCAGAATGCCAGGCCAAGACTCTCTGGCCTTTATCACTTCCTGTGGGAGAAACTTTAAACAGGCTCATGTGCTTCAGATGCTGGTCCTCCAAACATCCTCCACACGTTTCTGGAGATTCATCTCTCATAGCGGACACACAAATATATATATACAATCTATGCGTCCGCTATCCAGTCAATTAAGAATATTTAAAAAAAAATGCAGTCAAAAATGATTATTACTATTTGAAATAACACAATAATAAAAATATAATATATTAATTATGTTATAAATATTATGATAATAAAATATGTAAATATATTCTACTATTAATAACAATAACTTACATTTTCGTATTAATAAAATGTATTTAATTTATTACATGTGACTGTAAAACGTGTATAATGCTACAACATTTTTATTCCATTTAAATGCTGTCCTTTTGAACTTTTTTATTGATTTATCAAAGAATCAATCCACAAAAGAATTAAGCAGCACAACTTTTTTCAATATTGATGAAATATTAATTTCTTATAATATACATATTATAATATAAATGTTTATGTTGTAATGGAGTAATGATGCTGAACATTCAGCTTTGATCACAGGAATACATTACAGTTTACAATATATTAGATTGTATATATAGATAGATAGATTCAATAAATGCTATATTACTGTTTTTACTGTATTTTTGATGAAATAAATGCAGCCTTGGTGAGCAGAAGAGACTGATCCCAAACTTTTGAATGCTAGAATGCTCCTAGGACTTGATCTATAATAGTTTAACAGTGATTTTGTCATGTCCCTCCTGTTATTCTACAATTAAAATCATACAATAATTCAGTCCTCATTTTTACATCATTTGACGTTATTTGTAGAGAAAAGCCTTTTATGTAAGCTACTCTTAGAGAGTGCCCTCTATACTGATGACGTCAACTCTCGATTTAGGGGGTTTGGAGGTTGTAATAGGACCATTTTGAAACTGGGACAATGTAATTCAACATCTCTGATTTTTGTTACAGCGGATTTTGGAGTTTCTGCAAAAAACACCAAAACTCTCCAAAGGCGAGACTCTTTTATCGGGACTCCATATTGGTAAGTGCTAAAAATTCACTGTTTAATCATCAAAACATACATTTTCAGGCGAATATCTGTGGTTGTCGACATTTCAGTGCATCACTACAAAACATAATTAGAATGAATGATTACAGGTTTCGTGAGTTTCCCATAAAGGTAATATAAATATGCTGATAGAAAGAGGTCTTGTCATATCCCACAGGATTTAAAGCAATCATTAACTAGTGTCCAGCTTGATGTGAAATATCTGCCTACCTTTGTCCTTCCTCTGAGCACACACACACACACACACACACACACACACACACACACACACACACACACACACACACACACACACACACACACACACACACACACGTTGTGTTTTCATGTTTTATGGGGACTTTCCATAGACATAATGATTTTTATACTGTACAGACTGTATATTCTATTCCCTTACACTAACCCTATCCCTAAACCTACCCATCACAGGAAACATTCTGCATTTTTACATTTTTAAACAACATCACTTAGTATCATTTATAAGCTGATTTCCTCATGGGGACCAAAAAATGTCCCCACACGAACAAGGATTTCGGATATTGCCATCCTTGTGGGGACATTTTGTCCCCATAACGTAGGGTTTACCAGGCCACACACACACACACACACACACACACACACACACACACACACACACACACAGGAGCTAGTGGATATTAACGTCTCCTTATCTGACTCGTGAACAATCTTTAGCAGTTTTATTAGTGGCTTGTAGTAAATTCTTTAAGTCGCCGGCTAAATATCTGCAGACGTGTTTCCATACTGGGAATGTATGGTAGTCAACGTTTGAAGTGGATCAAAACCTTTCCATCAAAGTTTTACATGAATTTTGAACAATAGCCAATAGGGCTGTCACTTTTGTGAGAAAATCCTGTTTGATTTTTGAAACATAACCGTTCATAAATCGATTTTCCATGTCTAAAGACGTTTCCATTTTCAACACCAAATACAGGCAAATCCACGGACACCTAACAGGCATTAGGACGAGCGTAAAGAGATGCTTGAGACGCACAAGTCAGCAAAATTCCTGATGATTTATTGGAGTGAAGTTTCGTCACAATGACAAACAGGAGCGCAACATTCAGGGATTGAGATTAACACCCTCGACTCGCCGAATGCGGGTAAAAATGAACTTTGGCGGGAAACGCTGTCAAATCACGAGCCAATCTGGCGTGTTTCTGTGTTTACTCACTTTACTGGGGAAGTTCGTGTAAGACAAATCTGCACGGATTTAGCGCAAATATGCAACTCGTGATCCTCATGATATATTAAATACAGTGTATTGCACAGAATCTGCTCATATCTGACTTACTTGAACATACACACACACACACACACACACTGTCACTAAGCAACAAACAACAGCGCGCTTGTTCACTTGCATTGAAGTAATAGCGAATATTAAAAAGAAGTTGGTTTTTATAAACTGTTTATTTTCACATTTTTTTCCCTCTTACCAAAAAAAAAAAAAAAAAAAAAATTTATAATAATAAAAAAATATAAATAAAATAAATAAAAATAATGACAAATAAATAATTATTACAAGAGTTTTTCACGCCAGAGAGTTAAAGTAGGGGAGTGTTCTTTAATCCAAACATGAAATATGGAACGGTGAGCAGCATACAACATTATAGATATTATTTTTGTTTCCAACACACAATTATTTACACCAAGGATACACAATCTAGGAGAAAGAAGTTAGTTAACAGAAAAGACATTGTTATTTTCCAACATCCTACATAAAACTGTCCACCTAAAACACATTTTTTGAAAAATAAATAAAAAAAGGCCGTTAAAATCCCTATTTTCGCTTTCGATTCAATTGTGCAATCGATTTTTGAACGTAAAGTGACAGCCCTAATACCCATTCTTGTCTTAGGACAACTTTGATGCACTTTTTTTTTTTGATCCACTTCAAATGTTGACAACTGTTTTCGAAAGCTTTCGTGATGATCTAACTGTAATATTGCTGTTCTGATATCTCCTGTATGTTCAGGATGGCTCCAGAGGTTGTGATGTGTGAGACCATGAAGGACGCTCCGTACGACTATAAAGCGGACATCTGGTCACTGGGCATCACCCTGATAGAGCTGGCTCAGATAGAGCCCCCCCACCATGAGCTGAACCCCATGAGGGTCCTGCTGAAAATTGCCAAGTCTGAGCCGCCCACCCTGGATCAGCCCTCCAAGTGGTGAGCCGCGAAACCCCGGCATGGGAGTGAACGCTCAAGATTTCACTGACATGCTTCATTATGAGATTCCTGTGCTCTGAGCATAGTTGTGGTTTTTTAGTTAGATTTATAGCTTTTCTAGAATATGGCCATCGAATGTTATTTTATCACTGCATCACCGTTACACATTAAGAGATTGTATTGGGCAAATGTTGAAGGGTTTTGTGTATTTTAGGTCAATGGAATTTAACGATTTCCTGAAAAAAGCTTTGGATAGAAACCCTGAGACGAGGCCGACGGCTGCTCAGCTTCTAGAAGTAAGGAGTTTCACACACACACACACACACACACACACACACACACACACACACACACACACACACACACACACTTGTCCATATACATTATATTATCTCTCTCTGCTGCAGTCACTCGAAATGTAACTTAAGGCATTTTAAGACGGTATGTGCAAACCACAGCAGAACGTCTTATCAGGGCAGTTCTTGCTTCCTGTCCGCTCTGGGTCAAGGGAATTACAGCAATTTGCACTCTTCCTTTTGGATATTTCTTCACCTCCACCCCATCAGAAAAGAGGAACTGAACAATTAAGGAGTTTGCGAAATGAAAAAAATGTGCAGTAGATGTGCTGAAGACCTCGAATAATCCTCAAGTTACTTCAAAAAACAAACACTCACTTTGACTTTGGCGAAATGGACTTCAGTGACACTTGCTAGTCATTTAAATAGAAACTGCCACACAATAGTTGACATCACATCGTAAGACCGATGATCTGACCATAGAGAAGTGATAGAAGCGATTCAAGTCATGCTTTTTCCTCACTGGACTTTCAAATATATCATTAAATGTTCATATAGTAACACTTTAGGGAACAGATATTCACTAGGAACTAGTTGCTTATTAGCATGCATATCACTAGCTTATTAGCTGTTTATTAGTACTTATAAAGCACATATTAATGCCTTATTCTGCTGTACCATATTCTACATCCTTTAATCCACCCAATACCTAAACCTAACATAATTATACTAACTATTAATAAGCGGTAATTAGGAGTTTATTGAGGGAAACCTCCTAGCTATGTTAATTGAATATGCCTGTCATATTAATGTAGTTTTTATTGTAACTAAAGTAGTCAACATTTGAAGTGGATCAAAACCTTTCGTCAAAATATATACATGATTTTTGAACAATACCCGTTCTTGTCTTAGGACAACGTTGACAACTTTTTTGATCCACTTCAAATGTTGACTACTGTATATAAATAGTTGCATATGTCCTTCAGAAGCAAAGCACTTGTGTCTGATGTTCGTAGATAATGCATTTTTGAAAGCAGAACATGCATGAATGAGAAAATAAAGTGTGGGACGTGCTCGATGTTAAACCGTTATTAAGCGCATTAAGCCAACGGAAAGATATCGACGCGTTACTTGCGCTGACTGACACAAAGACACCATGTGATCCTGAATTCTGCTCTCTTTAGCGGCTTATTGCGCTTGAACGGTCAGATGTACGCAATATTATTTTAAAATATCTGTCTGGACGAGTATTCACACACACACAGTCCGTTATATCTTAAGTGAACGTAAACAGTTGGGGGAAATGATGTGTAACATTATATTAGATCCGTGCATTATGTCTATATCATAATATATAATATAATAAACCTGCTGCTGTGATGTCTGTCATTAATGTTAATCAAACAACAAAAGAAAAGAGGGAATCACTCACTGCGCTCGACTCGATACCTTTTGTAGCTTTAATAATAATTAATACACTAAAGACTATGCATGATTATTTTTACATTTAATTATTCAATTTCTGTATGATTTGTTACTTGAATGCTGCTGTTAAATAGATAAAGTAAAATGCTGTTAGTTTAATTTGTTTCTTATCTTTTATTTGGTCTAACAAAGATAAAATAACAAAAAAGAACTATATTGTGATTTATTAACATAGTAATTATTATTAATAAAAGAATTGGAGGAAAAGATGCATCGAGAACCGTTTTATAATCAATTATTCGATACTCTCCGAATCGAATCGAATCGTGAGGCAAGTGAAGATTCGATATTGGCAAGTGGTAAAGAGTAAATTGTGGAGATCTGCAGCCACTGTAAAGTGTTCATTCTCCTGTTCTGATGTCACTCTCGCTTCGGGGTTTCATATTACATCTTAATTTAATGCTCTGCTGCGTACAGAGCAATCTGAAAGACGAAGGTGAAGAGGTAACACTGATATGCAGTACATGCTATCCTGTCAAGAGTTGTATGCCAAGTTCATATATCACTTCTATCCTAAGTGGCGAACATTACCTCAAAGTCTTTATAGGCTGGTCTGTAGTTTATATTGATCATCGAAATATCCTTAAGAAACCTTAACTCTCTGGGGACCAAGGTGTTTTTGGGGTCCTTTAGATGTTTTGACATGCCCTGACATTTGTGCTTTTTTTAGTTGCTTATAAACATGTTTATGGCACAGGTGAAATTACACTCTATTTAGCACAAACAGGGCTACCATAATATGTGAGCAACATGTATGTACATGTTTGTATTTTTGAGAGAATATTGTTTATGCATGGTTATTGGAAAAAAACTAAAAATTAAAGTTTCTGAAATAAAGCCACAAAACACATACTAAATATGTGTCCACAAGAGTTTTGACTAATGGATGTTGTGGCCTAGAGTTTTTGCTTCAAAATGATCTGAAAATCATCCTGTCTAATCATTCACATAACACAATAGATTCTTTTAAATTGTGAAAAACATTTTTTGTTAGCCAAGGCAATATGCAAATGGGCGTGAACGGCCAAACCCCATTGTGAATAATTAGGTGGTTGAGAAGACAAAGACCACGCATAGTAATGAGCCTTTTATGCAGGTGTGTCACACAAGAAAGAATGCAAGGAAAATATATACACACACACACACACACACACACACACACACACACACACACACACATACATATACACTCACCTAAAGGATTATTAGGAACACCTGTTCAATTTCTCATTAACGCAATTATCTAATCAACCAATCACATGGCAGTTGCTTCAATGCATTTAGGGGTGTGGTCCTGGTCAAGACAATCTCCTGAACTCCAAACTGAATGTCAGAATGGGAAAGAAAGGTGATTTAAGCAATTTTGAGCGTGGCATGGTTGTTGGTGCCAGACGGGCAAGTCTGAGTATTTCACAATCTGCTCAGTTACTGGGATTTTCAATCACAACCATTTCTAGGGTTTACAAAGAATGGTGTGAAAAGGGAAAAACATCCAGTATGCGGCAGTCCTGTGGGCGAAAATGGCTTGTTGATGCTAGAGGTCAGAGGAGAATGGGCCGACTGATTCAAGCTGATAGAAGAGCAACTTTGACTGAAATAACCACTCGTTACAACCGAGGTATGCAGCAAAGCATTTGTGAAGCCACAACACGCACAACCTTGAGGCGGATGGGCTACAACAGCAGAAGACCCCACCGGGTACCACTCCTCTCCACTACAAATAGGAAAAAGAGGCAACAATTTGCAAGAGCTCACCAAAATTGGACAGTTGAAGACTGGAAAAATGTTGCCTGGTCTGATGAGTCTCGATTTCTGTTGAGACATTCAGATGGGTCAGAGTCAGAATTTGGCGTAAACAGAATGAGAACATGGATCCATCATGCCTTGTTACCACTGTGCAGGCTGGTGGTGGTGGTGTAATGGTGTGGTGGATGTTTTCTTGGCACACTTTAGGCCCCTTAGTGCCAATTGGGCATCGTTTAAATGCCACGGCCTACCTGAGCATTGTTTCTGACCATGTCCATCCCTTTATGGCCACCATGTACCCATCTTCTGATGGCTACTTCCAGCAGGATAATGCACCATGTCACAAAGCTCGAATCATTTCAAATTGGTTTCTTGAACATAACAATGAGTTCACTGTACTAAAATGGCCCCCACAGTCACCAGATCTCAACCCAATAGAGCATCTTTGGGATGTGGTTGAACGGGAGCTTCGTGCCCTGGATGTGCATCCCACAAATCTCCATCAACTGCAAGATGCTATCCTATCAATATGGGCCAACATTTCTAAAGAATGCTTTCAGCACCTTGTTGAATCAATGCCACGTAGAATTAAGGCAGTTCTGAAGGTGAAAGGGGGTCAATCACAGTATTAGTATGGTGTTCCTAATAATCCTTTAGGTGAGTGTATATATATATACACACACACACACACACACACACACACACACACACACACACACACACACCCACACACACACACATATACATACATATATATATATATATATATATATATAATCAAAATATAAATGAAAGTCAAAAGCACATTTTTAGTCATACCTGGAAACAAATCATGTTCAAATAGGTTATATGGGCCATTCTACAGAATTGGTTCAAAGTTAGAGTTGGAAACATCTTGAAAAGAAAATTGTCTTTTTCTATAAATGTCTTAGTAGGCCAATACATTTTATCATACATATTTCAAAGTTAAGGATTCATTATTTTGATATAGCTTGCATTGGAACAAACACTAGCCTATAACATCTTAGTTGATTAGTTTATTGACAAAACATACTATATAACATATGAGCAGAAACTGCTAACAAAAACTTATTTGATATCTATTTTAGAGTTAAAACTTTATAGTCTATTCAAAACTAGTCACACACACACACACACACACACACACACACACACACACACACACACACACACACACACACACACACACACACACACACACACACACACACACACACACACACACACACACACACACACACACACACACACACACACACACACACAATACCTGATATAAAACCTTGTCATATTCATTTTTGGCTATCATATGTATGTTCAGACACTAAGTCTCTGCAGGTTCTTAAACATCTTATATTATATTATCTTATAATAAAGTCTTAAATTCAGTTTGATTAATTTAAGGCCATAAAACAAAATCCAATCGACCCTCTAATTTGTATGCATTGATAGTAAATATATTTATAAATTAAATAGAACATAAAACTTATAGTTACCCTGTTTTGTATGTCTGAGATCCATGATTTATTTAGAGATTCTATGGGTTTGTTTTGTATGGACATACAGTATTCGTTTTCTTAAAAAAGGTCTTCATAGGTGTTCATCTTTAAATATCATATGCTATTATATTATACATTTTTCCTGGGAATCAATCCCTTGACCTTGCCGTTGCATGTCGTGTTCCTGTATCTCACACTATCCAAGCATGCTATGAATTGTGATGGTCTATGTCTGACCTCTCGTACAGTTTCAGATATATCGTGTGTGAGTTTTGCTGCAGTGTTTCTTTATGAGCTGTAGTTATTTCTGTTCTTGATTGTCAGTAAGTTGTGGTCATCGGTGAGGGTAAGTGATACTGCTGGCTGTATGTTTTTAACGCTTGAGTCCCCCTCACATGCGCTCGGCAGCTGGGACACTTCAATTAAACAAGGTGCAACTCAGCTGAATAATAGATGAGAGCAGCGTTCCTCTTCATTACACTGATGCTTTCACAGTTCAGCTCAAGTCCTCCGCGTCTAACTCCGCTGATCCACTAATTAATCCCCACTTTTGCTTATTGCAAGTGTATTTCAAGTAAAATAACATGCTTACACAAGTTCCACAACAATATGAGAAGTCGAGAACTGGCATTTCGGTCCAAACCACAAATATTTGACTAAATTTAATAAATAAGTAAGGGATCATCCACGGCTAGCTCTGCATTACACAATTTGAATGCGTGACGCAGTTAATGCACTGCTAGCTGTGAACTATACTGCTTATGCCATGGTCATTTGCCAGCATTAACAAGTTAAAGTTGTCATTGATGTTTGCAGAGTTAAATTTGACTGAAAGAGGTACAATTATGGTTATTTTCATCAGTTAGCCTACGACTCGATAGATTTAGCATTCTGCCCGCTTTAAATCAGACACTGAGGTAAAGTAAGGTTACATTGATTTGATTGATATTGAATTATAACATTTATTTAAATTAATTAACCACTAAAGAGAGAGAAAGAGAAATGTGTGTGTGTGTGAATTACCTGATTCTGTGCAGCGTCTCTGCGAGCAATGAAAGCTGTGAGTTGAATTACTTCAAAAACAACGGCGTTAAAACCTCCTTACTGAGTGAAATAATGTAGATATTCAGTAGTGAAGTCAATTTATTAATAAAAGTCAAAGCTCCTTGTGTGTGTTTGTGCTTCAATGAAAGCAGCGCATTAATAATAGAACGGTGATTAAACTGAATGGAACTTTTATCGCACACCTTCCAGCCAATCAGAATCCAGTATTCAGACAGACCATGGTATAATAAATAAATGATAGGACTATAATTCAATAAAAAATGTAAAATGAAAATAAATATACATTTAAAATAACTCTTACTAACAAATATGAAATATTTAATTTGTTTACCTGCATGTCATGTGACATTAACCAACATCATAGAACCGCGAACATGCAAATGTGTTGTTAAATTACAAAATATGAATTTTTAAATCTCATGGGTACTTCAAAGGGGTTTGGCTGACAAAATAGTTTTCTGAACTACAAATTAGAATGCCATAATTATTGACCATAGCTGAGTCATTCAGAATGGCCACATTTCAGATAAAAAAACCCTGCTCTGCCAATTGAAGTTGATTGTGGTTCTTTATTACTACTTTGACAACCACGACAACATGATCATTTTAGTGATGTTTCAAAAAGATGCATAACTGAAATGAATTAATCACAATTTCCATTCTCAGGCTTCTATTATTGAATATGCATGCTTCTTAAGATGGCGTGTGCATGTTATTGTTATGCACAGTCGAATAATTTTGGAGTTTGTACCGTTACGAAGAACTCTGTCTAATCTTTCCGCGTATGTTCTGTGTTTCAGCATCCTTTTGCGAGTTCAGTGAAGACCAACCGTCCATTGAGAGATCTGGTGGCGGAGGCCAAAGCTGAGGTGATGGAGGAGATCGAGGACAATCATGAAGAAGGAGAAGAAGAAGACCCTGCTTATGTCACACCTGTAGGGGTCTTGACATTTCTCACTTACTGCACACCTTCCAAATGTCTCTCTATCATAAATCTCTCAGTTCACTCTGTGCGGATAGAGTAAAGATAATGCACTGCTAATGGAAAAGCGCTCAGGGCGTAAAGAGCGACACATTTGTTTAGTGCTTTGACAAGGTAATTGTTATTGCATGGAAAGTTTATTCTACGCTTCAATGCAGGTGTACCTGTGAAGGGCAAAAACACTGCGAACAGCACAACGTGCCACCGACTCAATGAATTATGCAGATATGTGCTTATTTAGGTTATGTAATGCACTCTTTTTATTGCTGCAGTGTATGCAATATGTATTGTATACAGTATGCACATTTTTTATGCATAAAGTACCTGGATAATATGCTTAATATGCCAGCATAAGCAGTATTCAACAGAGCACAGAATGCTGTATCCCACAATGCAGTGTTCCTCTTAACTTTCCTTATTTTAAGTGTGTTGAATTAAGCACAGCCACGATTTTCAACTCTTAAATCTTTTTATGACTCATTGGTTTTCAACAAAATTGAATTGAAGATGCAAAAGATCTGTTTTGTATGGAAGCTTGTTTCCGCCACTGAATAAAAAAAAAAAATTGCGACTTTTTATCTCACAATTGCGAGATATAAAGTCAGAATTGTGAGAAATAAAGTCGCAATTGCGAGAAAAAAAGACAGAATTGCGACTTTTTAGCTCACAATTCTGCCTTTTTTTCCTCACAATTGCGAGTTTATATCTCGAAATTCTGACATCTTTTCTCAGAATTGTGAGATATAAACTCGCAATTGCGAGTTATCAGGCCAATTCTAAGGCGGGAAAAACTTTTTTCCCCTCAGAATAGTTTATATCACGCAATTCTGACTTTACAACACGCAATTTCGACTTTATATAATGCAATTCTGACTTTATAACACGCAATTGCGACTTTATATCAATCAATTCTGACTTTATATCTCGCAATTCTGACTTTATAACACGCAATTGCGACTTTATATCAATCAATTCTGACTTTATATCTCGCAATTCTGACTTTATAACACGCAATTGCGACTTTATATCAATCAATTCTGACTTTATATCAATCAATTCTGACTTTATATCTCGCAATTCTGACTTGATAACACGCAATTGCGACTTTATATCAATCAATTCTGACTTTATAACATGCAATTGCGACTTTATTTCACGCAATTCTGACTTTATATCTCACAATTCTGACTTTACAAGACACAATTTCGACTTTATATCACGCAATTGCGACTTTATATCAATCAATTCTGACTTTATATCAATCAATTCTGACTTTATAACACGCAATTTCGACTTTATATAATGCAATTCTGACTTTACAACACGCAATTTCGACTTTATATAATGCAATTCTGACTTTATAACACGCAATTGCGACTTTATATCAATCAATTCTGACTTTATATCTCGCAATTCTGACTTTATAACACGCAATTGCGACTTTATATCAATCAATTCTGACTTTATATCTCGCAATTCTGACTTTATAACACGCAATTGCGACTTTATATCAATCAATTCTGACTTTATATCAATCAATTCTGACTTTATATCTCGCAATTCTGACTTGATAACACGCAATTGCGACTTTATATCAATCAATTCTGACTTTATAACATGCAATTGCGACTTTATTTCACGCAATTCTGACTTTATATCTCACAATTCTGACTTTACAAGACACAATTTCGACTTTATATCACGCAATTGCGACTTTATATCAATCAATTCTGACTTTATATCAATCAATTCTGACTTTATAACATGCAATTGCGACTTTATTTCAAGCAATTCTGACTTTACAACACGCAATTATGACTTTATATCACGCAATTCTGACTTTATAACCTGCAATTGCGACTTTATATCAATAAATTCTGACTTTATATCTCGCAATTCTGACTTTCTAACACGCAATTGCGATTTTATATCACGCAATTCTGACTTTCTGATATCTGGCAATACTGAGAAATAAAGTCAGAATTGCGAGATGTAAACTCTCAATTGTGAGAAAAAAAGTCAGAATTTTGAGATCAAAAGTCGCAATTACTTTTTTTATTTTTCATTCTGTGGCGGAAACAAGCTTCCATAGTTTTGATTTTAAACTCGCCGAATGTAACATGCAAAAATATCAAGGTCACGTGACCTCAGTTTGTAACATATCACTAATGTTTATCGTTATACTAATTTTTTGTTTTTGAAAGTCTCTTCTGCTCACTAGGGCTGCATGTATTTGATAACAAATACAGTAAAAACAGTATTTGAAATATTATTACAATTTAAAATCTATTCTATGTTCTATTTGAGTATATTTTAAAATGTAATGTATTCCTGTGATCGAAGCTGAATTTTCAGCATCATTACTCCAGTCTTCAGTGTCACATGATCCTTCAGAAATCATTCTAATATGATGATTTGCTGCTCAGGAATCATTTCTTATTATTATTATCATCAATGTTGAAAACAGTTTTTGCTGTTTAACATTTTTGTGGAATTTGTGATACTTTTTCATCTGACTTGATTCTTTAAGTAGAAATTTCAATCAATGAACAGCATTTACTTGAATTTTTTTTAAAAGCATTTATTAAATAGAAATCTTTTGCAACATTATAAAGGTCTTAACTGTCACTTTTGATCAATTTAAGGCATCCATGATGAATAAAAGTATTAACTTTTTCTTCTTTTCTTTTAAATCTTACCACGAATGTTTGAATGGTATCAACAGTTTTCAACACTGATACTAATAATAAGAAATGAAAGCCAGTAGTTTTCCGTTGCGCAAGCAGCGCGACTCTCGTCTCATGGGCACTGGGCGCCACTACACCTAATGTCACACTGTGATCGTGATGTCAACACTGCATGTATAATTTGACTAACAGAACATGTGTCCCCCACCCAACTTTCACATTAACGTCTCCATTTAAAGATCTATTCTAGGCTGTTGTTGGTCGAATGGCACAATGGTACGAACGTTCAAAAATAACTCTTAATACACTTCCTCTTCCGCTTCTCATCTGGCCTTCAACCATGTAAAAATGAAACAAAAGACACGACATCGACATTTCTTTAGAGTTAAATAAAGCACAGGACAATTAGTCCCTCTTTTTGCTAAGGACACAGTGGCCTGTGGCTGTGTATGAGCTTGGCCTGTATTTATTAACAGCTGTACATCATCTCTATGTGTATTCAGGCACTGGGGACTTTCCTTTTTATAAAACCAGCCATAGCATTGCTGGTTTACTCTGACCAAGTAAAGTCAGCTTCATTTATCCAGCGCTTTTAACAATACAGATTGCTTCAAAGCTGCTTTACAGTGATAACAGGAAATTAATGGAACAGGGATTGTTTAGGCTTTACAGCAGCTTTAGAATAAAGTTATTGTCCAGCTAAATTACGTTTTTAATTGATTCATTTCTGTTGCAAAGATCATTAGTTATTAACTTAGGGGCCGCTAACACGACACCGTTTTAACTGAAAACAGAAAACTTTTAATGCGTTCTGGCCGTTCATTTGCACGACAGCTGTGTTTGGTGGTTCGAGAACGCAAATAATAACCTGTGATGTTTGGCCTACGTGTATAACAGATAGTATTGTATGTTTCTCAGTGGGACTGACAGAGTGGTTTATTTCGAAGAAATAAAAAGATAATTATCATGCTTTTATGTAGCATAAGCCTCATTCTGTCTGTGTTCTTTCTAGGCTCCAGTCAAAGACCCGTCAGAAACCAGTGAGACCAGTTCATATGGGGACCACCACGACACACGTCCCACTGAAACTCCAATGGTGATTGAGGAGGAGCTCAGGTCCACCGAAACCACTTCCAAAGAGCAGGAGGACAATCTCAGCGACAAGTTTCCAGAGGAAGATCATGACAAACCCGAGAGCGAGGCGTCAGGCAAGGCCTCCTGCTCCGACTCCGGGATCGAGGATGGGAAAAGCACACCCACCTCTGAGGAGGACACCAAAGCGGTCGAGAGCTCAGAACCAGAACTTCCTTCGCTGAGGACCGCCGAACCTTCAGAGACACCAGAGTCTTCCTCAGACACCAAGCCGTCAGCGGGATCAGAGAAACCAGAGGAAGAAGCTCACAGTGGAGAGATGCCTAACCAGCAACCACATCCCATGCTGGACCAGACTTATCCCAAAGAGCCGGCCAATCGTGTGTCTGTGGTGAGCGACAGGTCCTCTTTGGCTGGTGAGGATCTGGAAAGTTTGCTTCCTCACACAAACGGCAGATTATCAAATCGATACTCTGATGTGGCCAGTGAAAACATGGACATCAGCCTGAACCTGTCAGGTGATCTGTCTGTCAACAAGGAAATGGGCACCATCTCTTTAAGGGTAAGTCTGTGTTTAAGGGTACTTTTACATGACACCGATGTACTAAAAACTGAAATGTTTTTCCCTCTGCATTTTTGTTTCGCGTACAGAAATCGATCCCCATTCATACGGATCCGCGAAAACGATTAAAAAGCTGTATTCTGTATTCTGCCAGGCCAGTAGTTGGCGATGTCACTTTGTAAAGAAACAATACACTCTTATAGACTGAACACGTAATACGCATGACGTCACCGTTTTCACATATTCACGTCGTTTTGTCGTTTACACAGTCGATATTGGAATCATTTTCAAAAACTTGCACTTTGAAACCCGTTTTCATACAAATTGCGTTTTAAGGCCCCCAAACCTCCGCTGTCGTGTCAATGAATGGACAAAACGCATAAAGTTTTTTTGTTTTTAGTAGGGATGCAGGATTTATATCGGCCACATTATCGGTATCGGCCGATATATGTTATTTTTTTATGCTATCGTTATCGGCCCGATAAGAAAATTTGGCCGATATATTAAAGCCGATAAATAATGTATTATTTCCTTCAGCTGAGACACTTCAGATGCGCACTGTTCGACATGATGGTTTTTTGCTTGAAATATGATTGGAAAAGGGGAAAAAACAGTCAAGTGCAACATGTGCAGCGCAAGTCTGTCATAGAAATGACATAAAATTATGAGAACATTATAATCGTGTGTTTGGGACATGGCTTTTAATGGTGACACTTTTGTTAATGTAATCAGGCTCTCAAAAATTATATAAAAATTTGGATTTAGATTTATCGGCCAATATATCGGTTAATGGCTTTCAAATATAAAGAATTATCGGTATCGCGCAAAATTTTCATATCGGTGCATCCCTAATTTTTATGACATACACTACTAGTTTAAAATGGTTTCATGTAAGTGTGTGTAAATTTGTTTTTGTTTTTTGTGTATAAATTGGGCATATTTGCTGAACTCCTCTCCAATAATCTCTATTAAAACATAGTGATCTGGAAAGTTTCTAATACAAATTTTTTTGGTGCGACTAATGCTGCCCACACATGATTTTAGCCCTGATTTTCCACTTGCCGACAGTTAATGGAGATCACTGGCAAAAGACAAAATTTAAAGGAAAATCGGTGCTCATGCTTTCAGGATATTTAAATTTTAACCTTTAGTTATTTATTGCACTTCTTACAGTTTTTCCTGTTGTTAAGTAAATTTACATCTGCATCCCTACTCAAACTCAATGCTTAAATGTGTTAAATGTGCATTTCCAAGAGACAAAACTTCTTGTTCAACCAAACTAGGGATGCACCGATAAAACATTTTTGGCCGATAATCGGTAATTCTTTATATTTGAAAGCCGGTAACCGATATATTGGCCGATAAATCTAAATCCAAATTTTGATATAAATTTTGAAAGCCTGATTATAAAAAAAATTCTCTTTTTAAAAGCCATGTCCCAAGCACACAATTATAATGTTCTCATAATTTTATGTAGCCGATATGTCAGACTTGCGCTGCACATGTTGCATTTTACTGTATTTTCCTTTTTTGAAGTGATTCCAATCATATTTCAAGCAATTCAAAACCATCATGTTGAACAGTGTCTCAGCTTGAGGAAATAATACATTATTCATCGGCTTTAATATATCAGCCAAATTTTATTATCGGGCCGATAACAATAAAATTAAAAATGATCATATATCGGCCGATACCGATATGGTGGCCGATATATCGTGCATCCCTAAACCAAACCCAAACCGTAGAAACCCTCTGTAGAACTTGGTGTCACTGCTCTTACATGTTAGTGTGTAGAGCTGCACACACACACTAATGACACTCTTGGTCTTTAACATACTTGCTTTTCCTAATACTCTCACTTCCGCTCTATGTGGTCCTCTGTTCACGGTCTCAGTGCCAACTCCTCAGTCGGGCCACCGTAGAACAGAGCCGTGCTTATGAGAGCTGGTGAACGTTCTTTGGGCGGGTCGACCGGCGTACACACAGAAGTACAGTGAAGGTACAGAGCTCAAACAGAGTCGAGCCTGTCTGCAGAATCCAGTCCAAACCATCCCTCACGCATCATGTCTGAGCTCTCTCTGCACCGCTGGATGGAGGGATGTGTGCTTTACATATATTTAAGCCATGTAGGGTCTCAAGTAGCCCTTCATTGACTCCAAACCAGAATTGTGTTGGGCTTTGCTTAGCATTCTCAGTAAAATGATTAAAATAGTCGTTATAAACAGTCAATACTGTGGTGCCTTAGAAAGCAGTTCTTAGAAATGATTTTAGAATTACAGGTTGCTTTCCAAGCGGCAGCCCTGCAATTTATGGACAGCCCTACAATTTATGCTGTAGCTTCTATTTTATAGGTTTAACAAAGCAAAATCCTGCAAAACAAAGTGTTTCCAGGTATCCCTGAAGCTTGCTGAAGTAGTAACATTTACAAAAAGCAGATTTACAGAGAGTCATGTTAATGTTTATAGTATTTTAACATCTTCATGCCCTCTAATCGCATTCAGCAGATTAGAGCTAGATGATAGTGTAGTTTCATTTTTGCAACAATACAAGCAATAGACTGATATACTATATTGCTGATACTGATTCATTTGAGTATACTGTGTGTACGCGGATGAATTTGGATATACTATATAGCTCTCTGTTATAATATAGTTTATATTTTGCAACGATATAAACAATTGCACATTTGAGATTTGCTATAAAGTATATATTGCTTTACGTGAGTTTTTACTGTATGTATGCAGGTAAAGTAGAGAATGAACTATATATCCAACTTTTAATACCATTTGTCATGGTAAAGATTTAGATAAGTGCTGTCTGAAAATTCAGCTTTGCCATCACAGAAATAATGTAAATTTTAAAATATATTAACATAGAAAATTGTAATATTTCACAATATTAATTTATTTACTGTATTTTTTGTCAATAGCATCCCTAGTTTGCTGTTGATTTACAAAATAATGTCTCATCAAAAAGATTTAGTTTGAGCCGTGAAGTTGTCTATGTCATCTAGGTAGAGTAGTTAAACATGTTTTATCCGCATAGACTCATCATGAGTGAATCTGCAATCGCCATTTCTGGTGTTGAACCCGGAACATTACTTTAAATGAAGTCATTCATTTGTTGCATATTTCAAACTGCACATCTGTGAAGGCCATGTCAGATTTTCCATCCATTTCTCCCAAACGCTCTTTGTCTCTGCTCCATTCAGTATTGTGCATCAGTCACTGTGAGGATTGTTGGGTCGTTCTGTTCTTTGTTTGTGACTCCAGAGAACAGCTTCTTTTCTCATGTTTGCCGTTTTCCCAGTATGATTCAGAAGTTAAACTCTCTTATCCTTTAGTTTTGATGCTGCACGATCAAAATGGTTCAACAATGATTTCAGCAAACATTAGTGCACATATGCACACTGCATAGAATCGAGACCTGTGGCTTTACCGCACCAAAACCGCATCACAGGAAGTGCAAGATTTGCACACTTCGGACAGCAGGCTTCGACTCGCTACCGAGTGTACGGCATGAACACGACCGAGGATGTGACTGTTTGCTCAGCTGGGTTAAATAGACACGGGTCTTTGTGTTGTTTGCTGAAAAGTGACGGCATTTATATGACAAGATCCAATAAAATACGATTGCAACGGTGTCTAAATTAATGAAATTAATTCAGTGGCACTGAAACTACACAGCATCCAGGTCTTTGCCTTTTATGTTAGTTAGTTTGTATTCCAACAAATACTACCATTTTATTTAAATTATCAGTTATATATTATTTATACATTTTTCTCACTACAGCAATGACTGACTTATTAAATTTCCATAAAAAGCATGGCACAATGGATAGGTTTTGTGAGATCCACCCTCATAATCTCTCGATCTGCCCCATACGTTCATGAGCCGCTGACACTTCCTGTCAGAACTGGCTTTACAGGATACCAGAAATCTCACTGCTTCCTGTTCACGCCCTTTGTCTCGGATTCTCATTTCTTCTTTCTTTCTCCAGTCCACCCGTTCCTTATGCTTCTAGTTCTATCAGTGCTAGTTCCTTCATGTTGCCATGTCTTCTTCTTTTTTTAATCTCCCATCCACAGTTCCCTTAAATCTTGCTACCACACCCATCACAGTTTCTGTTTCTTAGTTTCTCTCATTTACATTCATTTGTTTTTTTAACAGGACTCCAAGAAGACGCTCAAACGCACCCGTAAGTTCTTGGTTGACGGTGTCGAGGTGAGCGTCACTACCTCCAAAATCATCACCGATGATGAGAAGAAAGACGAGGAGATGAGGTTCCTCAGGCAAGTCCACGCCATCACTCGCTTTAATCGAGCTCTTTAAAAAAATGAGAAAATTCTCATTCTCACTCATGTAAGACTTTCGTTCATCTTTGGGAACACAAATGAAGATATGATTAATAAAGTCTGAGGGATTTCTGCCAGTCTACGCAACTACTACTTTGTCTCTTCAAAAAAGTCCATTAAGAGATTGTAAAACTAATCCACATGAACTAAATCGATCAGTTTAGTTAAAATTTTCTGAAGACACAATCGTTTTATTTGAGGAACAGATTGAATTTAGGCTTTTATTCAAATATTGATCAGCAAACATAAACAAAAGCTCAACCGTACTTGCTTGACACGCGAGAACAAAACTCATTGGTTCTTGCTGAAAGCTCAAACGTGCTGCGTAACACGAGAATGAACCTCATTGGCTCTTGCTGAAGCTCAAACGTGCTGCGTAACACAAGAATGAACCTCATTGGCTCTTGCTGAAGCTCAAACGTGCTGCGTAACACGAGAATGAACCTCATTGGTTCTTGCTGAAGCTCAAACGTGATGCGTAACACGAGAATGAACCTCATTGGTACTTGCTGAAGCTCAAACGTGATGCGTAACACGAGAATGAACCTCATTGGCTCTTGCTGAAGCTCAAACGTGCTGCGTAACACGAGAATGAACCTCATTGGCTCTTGCTGAAGCTCAAACGTGATGCGTAACACGAGAATGAACCTCATTGGTTCTTGCTGAAGCTCAAACGTGATGCGTAACACGAGAATGAACCTCATTGGCTCTTGCTGAAGCTCAAACGTGATGCGTATCACGAGAATGAACCTCATTGGCTCTTGCTGAAGCTCAAACGTGCTGCGTAACACGAGAATGAACCTCATTGGCTCTTGCTGAAGCTCAAACGTGATGCGTAACACGAGAATGAACCTCATTGGTTCTTGCATGTCAAGCGAACATACTTAAGCTTCCATTCACCATATGTGAGCGTTGATTAATGTTTATATGTGAATAAAAGTCAAAGTGGTAGTTATGTGTACTGTGAATTGAGAGACCGAAAGCGCTCAGATTTCATCAAAAAGATCTTCATTTGTATTTCAAAGATGAACAAAAGTCTTTCAGGTTTGGAACAACATGAGGGCGAGTAAATGATGACAGAATGATGAACTAACTTTTTAAGAGGAAAAAAGTTTTTCTACTTGATCTTGCATCTCGGCTGAGTAAACAGGCTATTTTAGGTCTCAGGTCCAAGACCTTGTCTTTCCCGAATGGGACATTAATACACAAGGGGAACTTTGTGTACAGCCAGAGGAAGTGGACCGCTTTTAAAGGGCAAAACAAGAGCTCAAATCTCACTTCAACTGATCCATCATCTGAATACTTGTGAACCTTTCAATCTAGCCTTCTCTCTGAAGCACCTCAGCTGGTGGTAGTAGATTAACACACACACACACACACACACTGCTCTCTGTCTGCACCTACAAACAATGCCACTGCTGCCATCTAGTGGTGTGATCGTGTCCTGCATGAAACACATAGAGCACAGCTTTACTTCAGTCTCACAACAAACATGTCCAGGTCACATTTGACCTCAAAATCAAAACACAAACTCAATCTTCTTAATAATAGACTTCATTTTCCTTAAGCAAAATGCAATGCATGTATTTCTTTTGGTTTCGTGATGAAATATGACTGGGACATGTTTTTGACAGGCTTGAGATCTACCCCCACATTAAATATCTGTGTGGGACATTCCTCTAGTCTTTTGCTGTCAGTGAAGTCATGCAATGAATGAGGTGGGGGTGACTTTCCCATGAGCCCTCTGTAGTGCTCTCTGTGGGTCGTGACTCGTGACTGTGGAAGAACAGACTATTGCTGCATTCTAGACATTCTTTGGTTGGCGGGATACTTCACATTTTCAGCTTAAAGGGATAGGCCACCCAAAAATGAAAATTGCGTCATCATTTACTTATGTTGTTCCACTTCTTCTGCTGAACACAAAAGATGATGTTTTGAAGAAAGTTAGTAACCAAACACAGTAGTCAACATTTGAAGTGGATCAAAAAAAAGTTCATCAAAGCTGTCCTAAGACAAGAACGGGTATTGTTCAAAATTCACGTATAACTTTGATGAGAGGTTTTGATCCACTTCAAATGTTGACTACTGTAGTTTTGGTGCCCATTGACTTCCATTTAGTGTTAAAAAAAAGTGAGATTTATAAATATCATCTTTTTTATGGAAAGCAAGTCTAAAGATTCGTCATATGTGTATGTGAACGTCTGCGTTGATTGATCCACACAGGCGCCAGGAGCTGCGAGACCTTCGTCTCCTGCAGAAAGAGCAGCATCGTGCTCAGGTCGTGCTCAACCTGAAGCTGAAGGACCAGCGGGAACTGATGCAGCGCAGATTCGACCAGGAGATGAATGTAAGAGTCACAGATATCCAGCACAAGCAGCTTTACGCATGTTTGTAGTCGGGAAGACAGTTAAGCTCACTTTAAAGACGTTATGAACGGGCTTTCTTAAGACATCACAGGAGAATGGGGTAAAAAATTTACTATATACTAGTGCTGTCAAACGATTAAAATATTTAATCGCGATTAATCGCATTAATGTCATAATTAACTCGCGATTAATCGCACATTTTTATCTATTCTAAATGTCTCTTGATTTCTTTTTGTCCCATTACTTTTTTCTCATTTTAATGCTCTTATCAACATGGAAAAGTGGATCGGCTTGCTTTGTGCAAATGTTTTTTTATTGAAAACAACATTGACAATACAGTGTTCAATTTCACACTAACATTCTCACTTGGAGCAAATAATCTCTCACACAATGTAACACTGTCCATCAATAAAAGAGTAAAAGAAATACTGACGAGGTCCTGATATTGACGAGGGGGCGGAGAATTCGCATCAGCTGTGTGTGTGTGTGTGTGTGTGTGCTCGGCCATCAAGTGGTATTTCAGACTGGACGTGCTGCGATGATGATAGCTCAGTTCACAACGACAAAACACACAGATCACTTTGGTCTTGTCAATGGAACCATTTGCCAACTTTTTAAAAGTAAACTTTCAATTCAGAATCTTATTGGCATCCATTTCGGCGTCTCGTGCTCGCCATCCACTCAAAACGTAACGTTAGCCAACTATTTGGCCGGCTCGCATGCAGCTCGCAAGCCCAAACAAGTGTGTGCGGCGTCGTGCCTGTTGTTTTGTTTCTGGTCTAGCTAGATCCGCTTGCGCTTTGGTCGATGAAGCAACAAAACGTCCTCGCGCGGAGCAAGCCATTGAAATGAATGTGTTTCATAGCGCAGCGCCGCGTCCTGTTACAAAAGCATGTGAAAAAAAACTACAAAGTTTGCTAGGCCAAAAAGACCGTTAATCGCGCAATAAAAAATATGAACGCCGTTAAAATGGGTTTCCATTAACGCCGTTAATAACGCGTTTAACTGACAGCCCTACTATATACATATAAACTATACTGTGTATACTGTGTGTGTGTGTGTGTATATATATATTACCAAACTTACCCTTGTTGATTAATCACAGTACATTAAAGGTGCTATATGTAGTTTTTAGCAGCCTCTAGCGGTGATGTTTCAGATTGCAACAAGAGCGCTCGTGCTCGTGTGTGTGCTCGAACGCACTCACTACCGACCACACTGAGACTTTCAACACACCGGAGAAAGCATCACACATCATGCTGGAAACTCATGTAAACTCCCACTGCAACATTACAATAATAGGCTACTTTTATCAGCTTGACGGTGAACTAATGCTCCATGCTCGTACCATGCTAACGTTACATAGACTGCATTTAGCCGACATGTGGTGTTATCTAGCATAAGGCATTTCACTAACTATTCGTGTATCTAAAACAAAGCGGAGGTCTCTCCATAATTCAAACGCTCTGCCGATGTTGATCCGTGTTTTCGTCCTGAGGCGATCCGATTGACGTTTGGCCCGACGAGCTTCAGCAGATACATTTTTGTTTGGTTTTTTATATTTATGTGGAGTTTGTGTTGGAGTGTGTGTTGTGCTGGAGGCTGGTCGTTGTTTGGTGTTATCAGACTCCATGTCGTCAGCTGCAGTGCCGTCGCATAGACTGTATATGAAAAGGAGAGAGGCTCAGGAGCGCCACATCCGATGTATTTCGAAGACAATCCGACCCGGAGACTTCACATAGAAATAGGAATACTGGAATTCAGAGGTAATAGCAAAACCAGACAAGTGGATCATTGTAATGTGTGATTACAACCCCTTCACACACAGGCAATAAAAAAAGGATTCATTTTAGAAGAAAAGTTCCATATAGCACCTTTAAGGGACAGATTTACCAGCGCAAAGCCTCTTTTGGCGTTAAAAAACCACTGTCAGGATTTACTAAAGACACGCAGTGAAAAATGAGCGCTGAAAAGTTTGCGTGGATGTTTGCGTCTGATTTGATCGCATATGCATTTGTAGGAGTTTCCCTTTTAGACATAAAATGTATGTGAGGAGAGTATTTAAATGAATCACTCAAGGTGATTTACTAAGGTTTGCGCTAGTCAATTTACTGGTATTTACGCCATTATTTACAGCCCAAAAAAAGCTCGTCTTGCACCAGATGCTGATGTGCGGTGCTCTCTGTAGATTGCAAGGGTCATTATGGAAATGATCCGGCTGCGTCTGTGTTCTTTAATCTGTGAATTGTCAGTAAATCACGTGCAGGACTTTCCACTCGGCGCTATAATGGGATTTCGCTCTCACGCTAATTTGCATTGTTTTAGTAAATCTGGCCCTTAGACATAAAATTTTCCTGAAATGTTACTTTTAAAGTAACACCAGGTTACTTTTGCTCTCGGGGTGGGGTCCCCCTACAGTTGGGAAACAGTATTGTCCTCTAGACCTCTACTACTGTCGTAAACTCTGTCATCCTACATGCACGTGCGATTGTTGACAACCACGATAGCCCTGAACACTGTAGGAGGAGGTCACATGCAGGTGTTCTGCTTGCGTCGCGTGTGAAATGTCTTCATCCCAGGTACAGTGGCATATATTTCAGCATGTCATATGAATATAATTTCATGGGTTTTATTTTTTTTCTAACGACAAATGATCGCGATGATCACGTTTACAAGCCAGCGTCATTATAGTAGCCTAGTCTATTGGTTACCGTTTTACTGAATCTATATGATATGCAATGTTTGAGTGGTTGATAATAACCATATATCGTCAATATTATAATATCAAGCTACCATAAATGAATCTGCTAATTTTACAAATCGATTTGCATTATAGCTTGAGGCAAGACAAATAAACAAATATAACAGACATGTTAGGTATCCTAAAATATGATTTTGTACATCTTATATATTTACTTGCAAGAATGTAGAGCCTACCAAACTTTTTCTTTTTTTTTTGCCAAGTCCGCATCGGTCGGGCACCCCTCCTCCTCCTCCTCCTTCAGCTCACGCCAGCGAGAAAATGCTGGCCCAATGTTGATCCTCGTTCTGCCTTTAATGCGATCACTTTCTCTTTTTGCTTTGCTCCGATAAAACCTTTGCTTTCTTGTTTTTCTGTGCTGATTCGGCCATGACTATAACATTTGGCTCGCACGTCCGATTTTAAGGAAGTGGTGGTGGAAGTGACGTATATGCCGTAAAGCAGTCGAATTTTGTAGTTCTCTTTGTTCGCCGGTTACTACCCGAAACCCGAAATTTAAAAGTACGATTAAAAACGCTACAGACCCCGTCAGGCTATGGCAGACGTGTCATTCAACCTATTGTAAGTCGATGTACCATCACAAGAGACTTGGAAGTATATTATGAAGGTTGAAAAGTTACCTGGTGTTACTTTAAATGTGCAAATGAAGCATTATCTAATTACTGATCTAATCTAGAGCGTCTCTCTCGTACTGTATAACGTGACAGACCAGTTGTCCAGTCCGGTTCCATTCACACAATGCTGGTTTTCCAAGAATGTGTTTGTGAGTCCTGGAAATGTACGGCTGTGAGATCGGTTATAGAATGTGTTTGTCACTCCCAGAAATAACTGAACTGTGGTTGACTGTGAACGTAAGCGTATTAAAGACTCAAATACAGGACTGACAAGCGTATTCTGCTGCTGTGTGAACGTGGCCTATCCAGAATGAGTTGTGTGGCTTTCTGGCTCAGTCCGGGAGAAAACGGCTTGTTTTGAGAACGCAGCCTTTAAAAATGTTTACCGTATTGGAATCCACTGACGCGAAATTAGATAAAGTATAATAAAAGAAACTTATTTTCTTTCAGTTGGTCTCACAGAAGACATGTTATGAAAGCAAAATAGCCCAAAATCTCAAAATTGACACTGGTTTTGCCCATAGTGTCCTGCCTTAAACCGGATATTTCTGTTCGAGGAGAAACTCTATAGTAACTCCCATATACTCCCATGGTCTGGGTGAATGCTCGATTCTGATTGGCTGCAGGGTGTCCATTAAAAAGTGATAGAGGACACCTAGTGAAGGAGTTCTGGTGAAACTGACTGTTTACCGTTCGAAATTAATAAATAAATGCGCTGGCTACATCAGCTGTGAGTAACCATAGCAACAGCCAGTCAAAGTATCCGTTTACAATTTATTGTGTCAAAACAAACATCTAGTTAGCCGTTATACTGTGCCTACCTGTGTGTTTTAATTATAGGTAAAAAAAAAAAAAACCAAAGTTCAAAACCATTTCACATGCAAAGCAAATTAAATCGGCTGAATTGCCTGTACGAGCAGGCTCTAAGTAGGCCTACAGCGCAACATCGATGCACTGAAACATAATCAACAATTAAGAACACAATATACATTTATAATAAATAAAAATACAAAACGAAATAAGTCAGAATCAAGTCACAAGAAGCAGAACAAATGTGTGCAAAATGCCTAAAGTGCAGGGGAACAAATATTCAAAACACAAGTCACAAATAGTTAAATTAGATCACCCTGAGTGATCAATAATAAAATAAAAATAAAGAAATTATTAAAATAACGAAAGTATGTCCAGGATTGTCAACTTTGTCTTTTTAACTGCAGAAACAACAATAAACGCTAAACTGGGCAGTCTTTTTAGCTAAAGGTGTTCACAGTATCCAAAAATCAAATTAGAACCGGCTAAAAAGTGTTGAAATCACTTGTACCCATACCTGATCGAAAAAACAAAATCCAGTGTTTCACTCGGCCTGTGTCCGTTTGAGTCTTTTCAAATTGTGTGCGCGGATAAAATACATTCTAAAACGCTTAACGTGAAAAACGCTTAACGGCTTTGCCCTAAAACTGTTATATTAAAAGATCAAATTCTGTACACACCTTATTAATAAAGCATAGCCTACTATATAGCCTACAGAAAAGCAGATGAGCCCAGAATATGAACGCAACACGTTTTATTATAGGCTACGTTAAGCATTTTCCTCCCATAGAAAACCGTTAAAGAAAAAAGCTTTACGTGTCTTTCTATAGGAGAAACGCGTTGCGTTCATATTCTGGGTTTTCCTGATGCTAAATCCAGCCTTGGAGAATATCCTTTCTGATGGTGTGCATCTTTAGATTTTCTTATCCCAGACATTTTTAAAGATTTAAATCCCTGCCGACAAGACGCTCCTCTGTCGGTCACGGATCGAAAGTGAAACTTAAATCTGTCACGGGGTGTTTGGATTTATTCACGCTGCACGCACGTTAAAAAATATTTATTAAATTAAAAGCTTCTTTCTTTGACCATTTTTATTGACAGCATTATCATAATAGGCTGTATATTAACGTATTGACAGAAAACCGGTAGTTCTATGTGAAATCAGACATTGAGCACACTCATAGCCAAAATGACATAATCCTCGTTTAATAACACCTCTACGAAGATTCGACCGTGAGATTGGTAGTCGAATCAGGCTCCTCCTATCGAAGCATCGAATCTTCGACTATTCGGGGTCACCCCTAGTAAAAACTTAAGATTTCGATTGTAAAACTAATTAAAATATAAACTAATGTTTTAAAAATGTGTTATTTGGCAAGTGACCGTGGTATAAGCGGGTTAATGCCCTTCGAGGTGTCCGTTGTCTAGGTATTAACGGACTTTGGTTCACGCCTCGCCGTCGTCCATTAATACCTGACAATGGACACCTCGTCGGGCATTGACCCTTACTTATTACACACTTCCTGCAGTTGAAATGTTGAACAGCGCTGATATGTTGTTCTGCGGCTGTGCTCACAGGCCAAGAAGAAGTACTTTGACACGGAGCTGGAGACCCTGGAGAAGCAGCAGAAGCAGACCATAGAGAAGATGGAGATGGACCACACCACACGACTGCGGGACGAGGGCAAGCGCATCCGTGCGGAGCAAGAGAAAGCCCACAGCAAGTTCCTGGACCAGATGAAGCACAAGAAGAAGGAGGCGAGTGAGATACACCTCAAACATATACACATATATGTTCAAAATATACTTTATTGGCCTCAAAGAGTACATTCAATTTCAATGATTCCCCAAACTCCTTTTGTTGCACCAAACTGTTAATATCAAATTCATGTTCTTGGTAATTTCCATTATAATTATGAAATATATGAATTCATATATTTGAATGTGTAAATAATATTCTAGAACTTTTTGTGTGTGTGTATTGAAACCTGGCTTCATTGTAAATCTCGTTAATCAAATAACTGCTAAAAATGATAATTTTTTTTATTTTGCTAATGATAATGTCAACAACATGATTCTTTTCTGAATGGTGGCGATGAAATTGACAAGAATATTAAATATGAAACTGCAAGATGTTATAAATGTATCAATACGCTGAAAGTTTTCTGGAAAGAGGAGTAAACATTTAAAAATAATATGATTGATTTTTAATGCAGTTTGACTCATGATGATGATCTATGAAGTCGCTAACATCTCACATAATGTTCTCTTGCTCACAATATAAACTAGTGCAAAAATCAGCATCATCATATGTGTCTAAAAGGTTGAAATCTGTTGATCTAGCATTCAAGCGGTCAGCTATTTTATTCCAGATGTTACTTCTGATCAGAGTAATGCCACGTCATGTGACCATACATCACGTTATGGGGCCGTTCTAGAACACATTTTCCAGTTTGAAATAAAACGCTTTTATCTTTATTTTGTCTCAGGTCAAACAAGAAGTGGAGAAACTGCCCAGGAGTCAGAGGAAAGACAGTCTGAAGGCCAAAATGAACAACTTTCAACAGCTGAAATCAAACGAGGTTCGTTTAAGAACATATAGACAGAGTCATCCATTTCAATACCCAATCAAACACTAGGAAATGACCAATGGAAATACAGGGCTTAAAGGGGTCATATAATGCCATTTTTGTACAAGCTAATATGATTCTTTAGGGTCTAAATTAAAAGTTTGTAATATACTTTAATTAAAAATTCTCATTAGTATTGTAAGAAAACACTTATTTTACCTGGTCAAAAACAGCTCTGTTTTCAGCACGCCGTTTCAGTGTATATGACTTTAAATGATAATGAGCTTTGCTCACTCCGCCTCTCTGTTCTGTGCGTACACCGTTTGTAACACAATAACCATAACGCGTTGTTCAGTATAAACGTGGAATTATGAATTATATTGAGAACGTCATACATAGAAAACATGCCGTAATGTACCCTGACTGAGTGTAAACCTTAGACGCATTCATTGTGAAGCGTGCAGCTAGCGATTTGCAAAGATTAATATATTAATATAAAGTTTAATAAAACGTTTCACTCACTTCCGTTCTTCTGGAGGTTCAGCAGGAACACCAATATCTGGTACCGATCCTTTTTAGCAAAGCTTCTTAGCAAATCCAGCTTCATACTGACCCTCGTTTATAAAGCAGTCTGGTGTGTGAAATGATTCGCGCAAACATGAGAGCATTGACGTTGCTCGTGGGGAATATTCCCTTCGAAAACAAACTCAGCCACTGCGTCTTCAGCGGTTCGGATTCAGGAACATTAAAATGACTGTGTTCGTTATTACACCCTCATAGACGTTATTACATGCTCATAGACAGTGCTCCAGCATGTCAACAATGACCGCGCCGGTCCGGTCTGCGCCGCGCAGACTATGATTGACAGCTACCTCATGTGCGAGGGCGGGTCTGTGTTGAAACGCTCCCGTCAATCAACAATCGTGGGAGGGGCGTCCGTTTTATTGACGTCACAAAAACGAACGGCTCGATTTGAGGCAGGGGAAAACATATAAGGAGATTAAAACAAAACCACTGGATGGATTTTTATCATTATATGATGTTTGTGTACAGGCACTGCCAACACACATTTCAGTACAATCAACTTGTAAAAGTGCATGTACCATTATATGACCCCTTTAATGACCCACTCCGATGAAAATAATGTTTTTCTAGGTGTTAACATGTTCTTGTGGCATTTTTCTGATGTTAGAGGACATATCTTGAGAAAAATAAGCTTAAAGTTGTATTTCTTAGTATTTCTACATTCAAATGGCTGTGAATCAGTAGCAGACGCTAAAATGCCGGCTAAAATAGACTGTAGTTGTGACGTAGTAACTCCACTGGGCGTCTCCACACGCGACGTCTTGGAGTGAAATAGTGATCGGTGATAACTTTGATTAACTTCGGATAATAATAATTAGCGTGTATATAATACTGTTGCCCCACCGGTATTGGGGGTGTAAGCTAGCGGGAGAGACAGAGCTCTCAGCAACGGGCAGGGGGAGGGGCGTCTCCGTGCCAACGGCTCCGCCCACAACGCAGAGGCGAATTGCTAATGAGCTACTGCCGCTCTGCTGAAGCGAAGTCCCAGAAAAAGGCACAGGTTTTGTGATTTTGGCTAAAAATGGCATAATCATAATTTAAAGACCACTGGGAATGTTTAAAAATAGCTCAAAATATGATCGGAGTGGGACTTTAAAGTATTCCGGCACCGTGCCGGATCTCCGGCGTGCGGCCCGTGAGGAAAAAAGGATTATTTTCGCATGCGATTCATTTTTGTCCAGCTTTAACGTGTTAAAATATTTAACGCAGCGTCCGTTCTTTCTGTCATCCTTTAGCCAGGGTTATGACCATGTTCTTATTCACGCAAGGGCTTTAAACCACTCATGCGCGACAAGACAAAAGAGAACGCGCTGTCAGTGAATGTCCTCCTGACACGCGCGCGCACACACACACACAGGAAGACGCACGCCAGTATCGAGTTCTTTCGCGCTTGAACGAACAATAACACACACATTTATGCCAAAATGTCAGTTTTGTCGAGCATCCTCACAATAACGTCTTAAATCTTCAGTCCCTCCAGTTTTTCGCGATTCTGCGATCGCTGAATACAACGCAAAATCAACAAAATGTCACTTTTTTTTTTTGCGATCCTGCATAATTCCTAGTTTAACCGCAAAATAATCACAAAAATTCAAAAAAATGACCTCACAAAACAAAATTATAATCACCCAATTGAAATATATCTAGTTAAAGTTTCAATGCATTTTTACGTGGGTACAGATGTTGCGCACGCGAGATGTCTGTGAGCGGTCTGTCAAACATGGCGAAAGAAAAAGCGTCTCTCCTGCCCTCTCACATAAGCGCCCAGGTTTTCATTGGGCAGTACGGCAAACTTATTAACGCATTTAACATGATTGAATGACATAACAAAAAGTATGATATGCTCGATAGTACTAAAAAGAATTATTAAAAGCGCAGTATACCGTGAAAGAGAACTAATTTCAGCCAGTCGAGTGACAGTCTGTCTCTGACTGCAAGTGTGTGTGTGTGTGTGTGTGTGTGTGTGTGACTGACTGCGTGTCACCGCCTGTCGGCCTAGTTAGAATATTGAATTATCTTTATAGTGCTTGAACAAATACACATAGCTACAATTACTTCAAAATATTCATCTTGGCAAGTATTTACGTAAAACAATCAGTAATAACTGATTGGGACGTTTGTCATTACTGTAGTAGGTCTTAAAGTGACAGTAACATAATTTACCTGCTGTTGTCAGTGAGCACAATTTAAAAAAAAGAATGTGATTAGACCAAATAAACAAGCTTTATGCATTTTGTGTTATGTATGACTATTGTGCATCTGACATAATACTATTATGGTAAATGTGATGTCCTAATTATAAAATATAAAAATCGCAAATTTTTTCACAAATTTCTGGAAATTACCACCACAAAATCAATCATTTTGATCGCAAAAATCACACAAAAAAATCGTGAAATCCTGGAGGGACTGGAAATGAGTTAAATAAAATCTTAAATGGAAGTAAAGAGTAGTGAGAGAATGAGATGCGTGAGATCCTGTCAGCAGCGGCAGATCTTAAAGTGACAGGAGCCGTTAATTCTCTCTGTCAGTAAAGTTAACCTAAAGAACAGAGAAAATTACTAACTACTCTTGACTAAAGAACGCTTGTAGCTTTGATAAGGATTAATCTATATTTCATTTATAATTTATGCAGTGCGGACTGTTTTATAACCTTATTCAATTTCTGTATGGTACAGGTAAATATGACATGTATCATGGGTTTAAGTGAGGATTGTTTTAAGTTCATTTAAATGAAAGGTTTTTTATATTTTTTGAAGCCTAATGTTTAAAATTTGTGGGGAATCAGTAGCTATAATATTAGTGATACTGGCTTTCATTCATAAAAAGATGGCATTAAGATACAGCTGTAATACTTGAAAGTAAATGGTGCCATTAAAGATAGCTCCAGCTCTCAGGAATTTTTTGCACTTTAACCCCTGGAAATAGGTTTCATCAAGTATCAAAAAGGTCTGGCTTTTATTCTTTGTTCAGGAGGAGAAGTTCCTTGCGGATCAGAGGGATCATCTGGACTCAACTCTGAAGAGCATCATTGCTGAAAATAAGCGGGAAATCTCCGAGACGGAGCGCCAGTGCCTCCTGAAGAAGCAGGCTCTACTCAGAGGTATAAGTGAAGAGTCACGGTTTCAGAAAAGCTGAATGAGACGGCGCTTCTATAACCCGAGTGCTCTTCATCCCTCAGATCGAGAGTCCACTGTCTGGGACATGGAGGAGAAGAACTTGCACGAGAGACACCAGCTCCTCAAACAGCAGCTGAAGGACCAGTACTTCATGCAGAGACACCAGCTCCTCAAGAAACACGAGAAGGTGTGTGTGTGTGTGTGTGTGTGTGTGTGTGTGTGCAGTGCGACAGACAGGAATGGGGGGCATTTCCTGTGTGGACTTTAACTATATAGTTTTAGGGTTCACATAGTCATAGAAAACTGGAAATATCAGAAGAACGTTTAAAAATTGCATCTAGGCCCGAAATGTATTTATATTTTAAATGCAAACTGAAGATAAGAAAAAAACAAAAGCTGATTCAGAATATTAATAAAACTAATAAATAAATAAATACTAAACCTGAACTACTACTAAAACTAAGTTGAATATGTTGACGCATCATCAGTCTGAATGATTGATCAGCAAATGAATTATGATGATTTAACAAATCCTTCTCAGTTGTTAGAAGTACCGGACAAACATGTGTTTTCTGGTCAGGAAGCAGTTACACCGTGTTCATGTTGAGGAAGCTTGTTTCCGCCACTGAATAAACAAGTTCTGATGTTTTTTATCACTATTGCGAGATATAAAATATGAATTTAGAGAATTGTGAGTTATAATTGCGAGTTTATAACTGTTTTTATACAGTTTTTCTCACATTGTTCCCCCCCCCTGTTTTTTATTCTGTGACAGAAACAAGCTTTTGAACCCTGTAGTTTTCTTACTAGAGCCTTTATTTAACCAGGAGAGAAGACTTTTTGCAGTTTATGTTTTAAAAATGTGATGCAGACTTTAGCCTGTGTTTAAATGGCCCTGATGTCCTTCAGTGTAAGTGTTCTGTGTGTGTGTGTGTGTGTTGTCTCAGTGTGTGTGTGTGTGTGTGTGTGTTGTCTCTGTGTAAGTGTTCAGTGTGTGTGTGTGTGTGTGTTGTCTCAGTGTGTGTGTGTGTGTTGTCTCAGTGTGTGTGTGTGTGTTGTCTCAGTGTGTGTGTGTGTGTGTGTGTGTGTGTGTTGTCTCTGTGTAAGTGTTCAGTGTGTGTGTGTTGTCTCAGTGTGTGTGTGTGTGTTGTCTCAGTGTGTGTGTGTGTGTGTGTGTTGTCTCTGTGTAAGTGTTCTGTGTGTGTGTGTGTGTGTGTTGTCTCAGTGTAAGTGTTCAGTGTGTGTGTGTGTGTGTGTGCGTGTGTGTGTGTTGTCTCTTTGTAAGTGTTCAGTGTGAGGTTCTCTCCCTGTGTGTGTAAAGCTTGCGCTGTGTTAGTGCTCTGACACTGACCCGTGTGTGTGTGTGTGTGTGTGTGTGGTGTCTCAGGAACAGGAACAGATGCAGTGCTATAACCAGCGCATGATTGAGCTCCTCAAAGCTCGACAGCAACAGGAGAAGAACAGACTCCCGAAGATCCAGCGCAGCGAGGGCAAGACACGCATGGTCATGTTCAAGAAGAGCCTGAAGATCAACTCCAACGGAAACTCAGCGGAAGACCGCGAGAAGATCAAGCAGGTGAAGCGCGCGTGTGTGTGTGTGTGTGTCCCCTCTCTGAGACTTCTCTCTCGGCCCGTGTGTGTGTGTGTGTGTGTGTCCTCCTCTCTGAGACTCCTCTCTCGGCCCGTGTCTGTGTGTGTCCTGTCTGAGACTCCTCTCTCGGCCCGTGTGTGTGTGTGTGTGTCCTCCTCTCTGAGACTCCTCTCTCGGCCCGTGTGTGTGTGTGTGTGTCCTCCTCTCTGAGACTCCTCTCTCGGCCCGTGTCTGTGTGTGTCCTCCTCTCTGAGACTCCTCTCTCGGCCCGTGTGTGTGTGTGTGTGTGTGTGTCCTCCTCTCTGAGACTTCTCTCTCGGCCCGTGTGTGTGTGTGTGTGTGTGTCCTCCTCTCTGAGACTTCTCTCTCGGCCCGTGTGTGTGTGTGTGTGTGTGTCCTCCTCTCTGAGACTTCTCTCTCGGCCCGTGTGTGTGTGTGTGTGTGTGTCCCCTCTCTGAGACTTCTCTCTCGGCCCGTGTGTGTGTGTGTGTGTGTGTCCTCCTCTCTGAGACTTCTCTCTCGGCCCGTGTGTGTGTGTCCCCTCTCTGAGACTTCTCTCTCGGCCCGTGTGTGTGTGTGTGTGTGTCCTCCTCTCTGAGACTCCTCTCTCGGCCCGTGTCTGTGTGTGTCCTGTCTGAGACTCCTCTCTCGGCCCGTGTGTGTGTGTCCCCTCTCTGAGACTTCTCTCTCGGCCCGTGTGTGTGTGTGTGTGTGTGTCCCCTCTCTGAGACTTCTCTCTCGGCCCGTGTGTGTGTGTGTGTGTGTCCCCTCTCTGAGACTTCTCTCTCGGCCCGTGTGTGTGTGTGTCCTCCTCTCTGAGACTTCTCTCTCGGCCCGTGTGTGTGTGTGTGTGTCCTCCTCTCTGAGACTCCTCTCTCGGCCCGTGTCTGTGTGTGTCCTGTCTGAGACTCCTCTCTCGGCCCGTGTGTGTGTGTCCCCTCTCTGAGACTTCTCTCTCGGCCCGTGTCTGTGTGTGTCCTCTCTGAGACTCCTCTCTCGGCCCGTGTCTGTGTGTGTCCCCTCTGAGACTCCTCTCTCGGCCCGTGTGTGTGTGTGTGTGTGTGTCCTCTCTGAGACTCCTCTCTCGGCCCGTGTCTGTGTGTGTCCTGTCTGAGACTCCTCTCTCGGCCCGTGTGTGTGTGTCCTCTCTGAGACTTCTCTCTCGGCCCGTGTGTGTGTGTGTCCTCTCTGAGACTTCTCTCTCGGCCCGTGTCTGTGTGTGTCCTCTCTGAGACTCCTCTCTCGGCCCGTGTGTGTGTGTCCCCTCTCTGAGACTTCTCTCTCGGCCCGTGTGTGTGTGTGTGTGTGTCCCCTCTCTGAGACTTCTCTCTCGGCCCGTGTGTGTGTGTGTCCTCCTCTCTGAGACTTCTCTCTCGGCCCGTGTGTGTGTGTGTGTGTGTGTGTCCTCCTCTCTGAGACTTCTCTCTCGGCCCGTGTGTGTGTGTCCCCTCTCTGAGACTTCTCTCTCGGCCCGTGTGTGTGTGTCCTCCTCTCTGAGACTCCTCTCTCGGCCCGTGTGTGTGTGTGTCCCCTCTCTGAGACTCCTCTCTCGGCCCGTGTGTGTGTGTCCCCTCTCTGAGACTCCTCTCTCGGCCCGTGTGTGTGTGTCCTCCTCTCTGAGACTCCTCTCTCGGCCCGTGTCTGTGTGTGTCCTGTCTGAGACTCCTCTCTCGGCCCGTGTGTGTGTGTCCCCTCTCTGAGACTTCTCTCTCGGCCCGTGTCTGTGTGTCCCCTCTCTGAGACTCCTCTCTCGGCCCGTGTGTGTGTGTCCCCTCTCTGAGACTCCTCTCTCGGCCCGTGTGTGTGTGTCCTCCTCTCTGAGACTCCTCTCTCGGCCCGTGTCTGTGTGTGTCCTGTCTGAGACTCCTCTCTCGGCCCGTGTGTGTGTGTGTCCCCTCTCTGAGACTCCTCTCTCGGCCCGTGTGTGTGTGTCCCCTCTCTGAGACTTCTCTCTCGGCCCGTGTGTGTGTGTGTGTGTGTCCCCTCTCTGAGACTTCTCTCTCGGCCCGTGTGTGTGTGTGTCCTCCTCTCTGAGACTTCTCTCTCGGCCCGTGTGTGTGTGTGTGTGTGTGTGTCCTCCTCTCTGAGACTTCTCTCTCGGCCCGTGTGTGTGTGTCCCCTCTCTGAGACTTCTCTCTCGGCCCGTGTGTGTGTGTCCTCCTCTCTGAGACTCCTCTCTCGGCCCGTGTGTGTGTGTGTCCCCTCTCTGAGACTCCTCTCTCGGCCCGTGTGTGTGTGTCCCCTCTCTGAGACTCCTCTCTCGGCCCGTGTGTGTGTGTCCTCCTCTCTGAGACTCCTCTCTCGGCCCGTGTGTGTGTGTGTCCCCTCTCTGAGACTCCTCTCTCGACCCGTGTGTGTGTGTGTGTGTGTGTGTCCTCCTCTCTGAGACTCCTCTCTCGGCCCGTGTGTGTGTGTGTGTGTCCCCTCTCTGAGACTTCTCTCTCGGCCCGTGTGTGTGTGTGTCCTCCTCTCTGAGACTCCTCTCTCGACCCGTGTGTGTGTGTGTGTGTCCTCCTCTCTGAGACTTCTCTCTCGGCCCGTGTGTGTGTGTGTCCTCCTCTCTGAGACTCCTCTCTCGGCCCGTGTGTGTGTGTGTCCCCTCTCTGAGACTCCTCTCTCGGCCCGTGTGTGTGTGTGTGTGTGTGTCCTCCTCTCTGAGACTCCTCTCTCGGCCCGTGTCTGTGTGTGTCCTGTCTGAGACTCCTCTCTCGGCCCGTGTGTGTGTGTCCCCTCTCTGAGACTCCTCTCTCGGCCCGTGTGTGTGTGTCCCCTCTCTGAGACTTCTCTCTCGGCCCGTGTGTGTGTGTCCCCTCTCTGAGACTCCTCTCTCGGCCCGTGTGTGTGTGTCCCCTCTCTGAGACTTCTCTCTCGGCCCGTGTGTGTGTGTCCTCCTCTCTGAGACTTCTCTCTCGGCCCGTGTGTGTGTGTCCCCTCTCTGAGACTTCTCTCTCGGCCCGTGTGTGTGTGTGTCCCCTCTCTGAGACTCCTCTCTCGGCCCGTGTGTGTGTGTGTCCCCTCTCTGAGACTTTTCTCTCGGCCCGTGTGTGTGTGTGTGTGTCCTCCTCTCTGAGACTCCTCTCTCGGCCCGTGTGTGTGTGTGTCCCCTCTCTGAGACTCCTCTCTCGGCCCGTGTGTGTGTGTCCTCCTCTCTGAGACTTCTCTCTCGGCCCGTGTGTGTGTGTGTGTGTGTGTGTCCCCTCTCTGAGACTCCTCTCTCGGCCCGTGTGTGTGTGTGTCCTCCTCTCTGAGACTTCTCTCTCGGCCCGTGTGTGTGTGTGTCCCCTCTCTGAGACTTCTCTCTCGGCCCGTGTGTGTGTGTGTCCCCTCTCTGAGACTCCTCTCTCGGCCCGTGTGTGTGTGTCCTCCTCTCTGAGACTTCTCTCTCGGCCCGTGTGTGTGTGTGTCCCCTCTCTGAGACTCCTCTCTCGGCCCGTGTGTGTGTGTGTCCCCTCTCTGAGACTCCTCTCTCGGCCCGTGTGTGTGTGTGTCCCCTCTCTGAGACTCCTCTCTCGGCCCGTGTGTGTGTGTGTGTGTGTGTCCCCTCTCTGAGACTTCTCTCTCGGCCCGTGTGTGTGTGTGTGTGTGTGTCCCCTCTCTGAGACTTCTCTCTCGGCCCGTGTGTGTGTGTCCCCTCTCTGAGACTCCTCTCTCGGCCCGTGTGTGTGTGTGTGTCCTCCTCTCTGAGACTTCTCTCTCGGCCCGTGTGTGTGTGTCCTCCTCTCTGAGACTCCTCTCTCGGCCCGTGTGTGTGTGTGTCCCCTCTCTGAGACTCCTCTCTCGGCCCGTGTGTGTGTGTCCTCCTCTCTGAGACTTCTCTCTCGGCCCGTGTGTGTGTGTGTGTGTGTGTGTCCTCCTCTCTGAGACTCCTCTCTCGGCCCGTGTGTGTGTGTCCTCCTCTCTGAGACTTCTCTCTCGGCCCGTGTGTGTGTGTCCTCCTCTCTGAGACTTCTCTCTCGGCCCGTGTGTGTGTGTCCTCCTCTCTGAGACTCCTCTCTCGGCCCGTGTGTGTGTGTCCTCCTCTCTGAGACTTCTCTCTCGGCCCGTGTGTGTGTGTCCTCCTCTCTGAGACTCCTCTCTCGGCCCGTGTGTGTGTGTGTCCCCTCTCTGAGACTCCTCTCTCGGCCCGTGTGTGTGTGTGTCCCCTCTCTGAGACTTTTCTCTCGGCCCGTGTGTGTGTGTGTGTGTGTGTGGGTGTGTCCTCCTCTCTGAGACTCCTCTCTCTCTCTCTCTCTCTCTCTCTCTCTCCCGTCTTCAGTTCACCAGGCTGGAGGAGAAGAGGCAGAAGGCCGAGCGACTGCACCAGCAGCAGAAACATGATAACCAGATGAGAGAGATGATCAGCCAGTGTGAGGGGAACAGCAGAGAGCTTCAGCAGCTGCAGGTCACACACACACTCCTCTTCTTCAGCCCCGTTCACACAGTGCTGGGCGGTGTACCGGTTCATACCGAATACCGGTGTTTATTTTTGTTATGATATGAATTTTTAATATACCGCAGTACCGGTGTATGTCACTTTAACAGCGTTGGGAGTTTGAGAGGGTCTTTTCACTGTTGCACTGGTGATGCACAGCTGTGTGTGTTACTGTAACGGTGAAGATGGATGGGTTACACTATAATTGATAGCTGTCAAATTATATTACAGTGTTTCCCATACATTGGTTCTCAATATTAACAGCCCGCCACAAACAGGCTTTGACATCGTTGAATAAACATGAGCACTGCACGTTTCAAAGTCTAAACGCGGCGCGGGTGTTTTTATATGAATGTATCTTTGAAGGGAACTGACTGTCTTTAGAAAAGTTTCGATGTTTTTTTCATTTAATCTTTCTTTATCTTTCCTGATACCTCCCAACGCTGACATGAAATGGACATTTTATGTTAAAAATTGTGCATGGTCCCTTCATAAATAAATAAATAGAAATAAAGCAGCGTTTATGAGCGGCGCTGTGCTGCTTTGTGTACATCCGTTACCGGGGAAACCGCTTTGTGTTCAGCCGTTACCGGGGAAACCGCTGTTCCTGAGTGACACACCTACAGCGCCTCCTGCTGGACCTCTTTGTAAACCGCATCATTTTGTGTAAATCTGCATTAATACATGCGGATTTCTCTACAATATTCACTCATGACAGTAAAAAAGGGCATTCTGAGTCAATCTACTGCAGTATCTCCTCTCTCAATCAGTAGAAAATGTGGATAACACCCAGTCATGCTTGAAACAAAAAAAAAAAATCCGCCATATACTGTGAAACCGGTATAATTTTGAAAAATACCGTGATATAAATGTTTGGTCATACCGCCCAGCACTATATTCACACACATCGTGTAGATTAGAACACAAAAGGAAAAGATCGTTTGATACATGTCTGAGTGTATTTTGTTTTCAACCCCAACGTTATCCGACACACTCTTTTTTGTGTGTGTGTGTTCTGCAGAAGATAAACTAATATAAACTAAGTTTATAAAAGTATTTTGTTACTGTATACTTATAGTATATACTTATATATTTTTGCGTTGGCTCGCGTCTCACTGAAAACTCAAAGGCGTTTTTGTGGTGATAGTTGTTTAGTTTCACACTTCACGTGTCTGACTGTGTGTGTGTGTGTGTGTCCTGCAGAATGAGAAGTGTCACCTGCTAATAGAAAACGAAACGCAGCGTCTGAAGTCACTGGACGAGCAACACAACCAGCAGCTGAAGGACTGGAGAGAACACCTCAAGCCCAGGAAGAAGGTCAGAGGTCACTTTCACACACACTCTTGGGTGATGATACACAGGGCAACTTTTTGGGCAATGTTGCTGGGCAATGTTGCCATCAACGGGCAACAAGATGAGACACAGGGCCCACGACCGATCTAAATTATCCAGATATAAATGTATTGCCCGTTTTCAATGGGAAAGTGCCAAAGCAACAATAGTTTGGCAAGATTGCCCAGCAACATTGCTCTAAAAGTTGCCCTGTGTATCATCACCTTAACACACGTCTGGCTCGTATTTCACCCTCAAACCTGAATTACAGAGAAACAAACATAAATTGAACTCAACCATTCAGAAGTTTGTGGATGTACGATTGAGTCATCGCGGCCGGCTGCATTTATCTGATCAAAAACTGTCAAAATAGTAATATTGTAATGTACAATTTAAAATGGCTGTTTTCTGTTTTAATATTAGACTCGTCACGATTTTCGATTACTTGTCTTATTGCGGTTATTTGATTTAATCACAATTATTCGAGTTAAGGGAACCGGACCTCAGTCGGCTGAAGAGTGTGTGAAGATTAGACCCGTTCTGGAGCGCACGCAAACATTTTCAATGAAGGGGTTAACTGGCATTATGGTTAAAAAAACGCTCCAGTTTAACATTCCCATCATTCTAAACATTCTTGGTCTAATGGTCTTTATGATATGAAGGCTTGAAGGTTTAATCAGACGTTATATTTTACTATATTATATTATATTATTCAAGTTTTCTGGACTCCAATTAAAGTTGAACAAAAAGAGAAATATTCTCCCTGTTGTCAATAATTTTATCCATTAAAACTCATCTTTGATCACCAAAATGACACATTAAAATGTTTTTCCTTGAAAAATAAATGTGTTCGTGCCTTAAAATATCTTGAATGTAACTCGACACCCTCGCATCGTTTAGTATACGCGGTTCTATGAATATGCAAATGAGCCCCGCCTCCACTCACTCACTCAGCTCAGAGATCCACTGGTTGTCGATCACACGTTGATCTGATTGGTTACAAGGTCGTTTGTGACGTCAGAAACACCAGCGATTTCAAACCGTGTTTTTGAGACTGTCTTTGGTTCACTGCAGAAAATACTCAGCAATGCTGTCGACTTATGAACTTACACATGGTTCGTCTTAAAGTGTATTAATAACACCACATAGACATATAAACAACATTAAAATCTGGATTATCACCTTTAATAAAAGAGTGCCAATAATTATGGCCAATGTGTTTTGGAGAAAAACATATATTTCATGATGTGAAATATCATAAAAGAATGATATTGAATAAAAGATCAAAAGGATAAACAATGCAGATTTATTTTCACAGCTATTTCTGATCATATTTACCAGGGGTGCCAATAATTCTGACCACAACTGTAGATAATGGCATTTAAAAAAAAAAAAACTTACTGGTGAAACTCGAAAGATTAGAATATGGTGCAAAAGTTCATTTATTTCAGTAATTCAACTTAAAAGGTGAAACTAATATATTATATAGACTCATTACGTGCAAAGTGAGATATTTCAAGCCTTTACTTGTTATAATTTTGACGATTATGGCTCACAGCTTATGAAAACCTTTTCACAATATTCTAATTTTGAATTTGGGGTTTTCATAAGCTGTGAGCCATAATCATCAAAATTATAACAAATAAAGGCTTGAAATATCTCACTTTGCATGTAATGAGTCTATATAATATATTAGTTTCACCTTTTAAGTCGAATTACTGAAATAAATGAACTTTTGCATGATACTCTAATTTTTCGAGTTTCACCTGTATGGGTTAATACAACAAATTCTACAATGATAAAAAAAAAACCTTTAAATAATTTATGCGTGTGTGCTTGACTGTCAGTTATTCTCTCATATATCAGCGTATGAGTGTAATGGTTGTGGAGTGATAGTGTGACGTGTTGTTCTCTCTCAGGTCCTGGAGGATGAACTGACTCTGAGGAAAAAAGAGCAGGAGATTTTCTTCAGGATGAGTGAAGACTCCGAGTGTGTGAACGTCGGCTCACCGAACAAACTCACCAAGTTCCTTCCGTACGTGGATTCCTCCACCACATGAGCGCCACACACACACACACACACTCACATCCAGATCCACAACAAGTGTTTGAGCTTTTTTATTTGTGTAGGAGGCGTGACCTGATCACATGATGCTGAAGCGTAAAGCCAAAGAACCATTTACACTGATACTGACACATTCATGATTTAAGTACAGTCGTGTGAAATGACATTGATTTAATAGCCAGTTCTCTGCTCTACATAGACCGATGCGAGTGAGAAACGAGGGCATCGAACGACTCGCACTCGAGGTCTGACAGTCTCGCTTTAGTTTAAAAGCTGTTGGACTTTTATCTTCAAGTTAGCAAAAGGTGTATTGCCAAACATATTGTACAAACCTTGCATATTCTTATATATTTTTATTTTTTCTATGATCATTTAATATATGTATTGAAACTTTTATCGCTTTTCTTTTATAACCAATTCTGCCCTTGTACAAATGTTTAAATGCTGAAAAATGTTTTAATTAGTTTGAACCGCTTCACACGAAGCATCGTTTTAATCGGTACATTAAGTTATTTTACACGTCTGTTGGATGTTTTAGTTGTTTTATGTACGAGACAACAGCTAATTTGCCACTTTTATTATTCTGCAAAGTTCACGAACTGTGAGTTATCGTCCGCCACGAGTGGCACACTTACTGTAACGCATCACACACTGGACGACAAGGGCCAAACTTTGAGGATTAGTTTACGTTGGCATGGAGTTGATGTTTAGTTTAGTTTAGTTTATTGTTGGCCTAACTCAAATGTGCAATATGTGTGTGTTCCTCTAATGTTGTGTTGAGATTCTACACCCGCTTCCATTCTTTAGCCATCTGATGGGTTTATTTCCCCAGTTTCTGACAATAAGGTACTTGGAATTGAATCTTTTTATTTTTATGCACAATGTTGGTCATTCCTGTTCGAGTCTGTTAACCAAAGGTTCAGTGTGGATGGATGATGATGATGCCTCTCCTGATGTAAGAAACTGTTCTCCTACAAGAGTATATATAATAAATGAGATGTTTATTATTCGTCCTTACAGTTCTTTCATTGAGTTCTTGGTATTATTTCTTACAAGTGCAACATGTTCCTGGATCGACATCTTTGTTTATCCCGCATCAACATTCCAATCAACCAATCAGATTTAAGGGACATGTTTATAGTTCATGTCAAGTCTAGGCTTAGAATCAGGGTAAAGTACTTCTACATCAGTGTCGTTCATCTATCACTGCCCTATGATTGTAGGGATAGGGTTAGGATTCAATTTTCGGACAGGAATGTTGTTCCAGGATCAACTAAATATTGACTCAGGAACTGTCGTGGATTCGACGAGGTAAAAACTCTTCAACCGCCATACTTTATAACTTTATTTAGTTTACATTGGGCAAAGTTTTAATTTAGGTTGTAAAATGTTTAACAAAAAGTTTATCTAGTTGAAAAGTTCGAAGTGCTTTTCACTTGCACACGGCTGAGATTCGGCTCATGTACGGCATATCCACACTGTTTTACTGGCAGACTTTTGTATAGACTGTTGTTTTCCTCTGCTGATCATTCCCCAAAACTATTCATCCTTGCATTCCAACAAGAAAGGAAACCGTGGAAGGAAAATGTGGCTTTATAGGCCTGGTTTCACAGACAGGGTTTAGATTAAGCTATGATTGGGCCTTAGATCAATTATGGCATTTAAGTAGTTTTTATAAATGTGACTTAGAGAAAAATATTACTGGTTTGAATATTGAGACAAAACAATGACATGGACATATTTAAGGATATATCAGTGCAAGTTTCTTTCAGTTAAAACAGCTCAAACATGCAGTTTGACTGACGGGTTTTGGCTGACCGTCCACCCATCCATCCACCCAACCCAACCCAACCCCCCACCCACCCACCCAAAAACCACCCACCCACCAACCCAACCCAACCCAACATCCACCCAACAACCCACCCCAACACAACCACCCACCCCAACCCAAACGCAGACCCAACCCCCCATCCACCCAAACCCACCCACCAACCCACCCCAACACAATCCAACCAAACCACCCACCCACCCCAACCCAACATCCACCCCAACACAACCCAACCAAACCAACCCAACCAACCCACCCAACCAACCCAACCACCCACCCCAACCCAAACGCCAACCCAACCAGAAAGAAGAGACTTTAAAATAATAGTAAATCTTAATGATTCCAAGAAGATACTTTTGACTGACTGATTGATGATGCATATTAATGAATGAACATATTAGCCATTAACATTATAATACAGTTCACTGATGTGCATTCAATGGCATGTAATAAACACACTGAACTGAATGTGTATGATCGGCGACTCGTGTTGCATTTAAAACTTTGTTAATCTTAAAAGAAGAAATAAAAGAAGCTCTTTCCCCTCTCAAAATAGGCAATTTCAAGGCAATGTGTTTGCATAATTTGCTATTTCTCATTGTGCTTTAAAGACTTAAGTCCATAATCTATATAGATGTAGAAGATTTTATAGTCGTATAGATTTTTTTTTTTTTTACTGCAAGAAATACATTTGCTTCTCATTTAGAAAATAAGAAACATCTATGCATCCGTCTCTCCTTTATTGCTTGCTTTCAGGAAAGGAGTCCCTCGCCAGTTCATTATTATTTGGGGGAGTTTGAAAACCTCTGCCTCCCTTTCCAACTTCAAAAATCCAGCTATATTTCTTCATCTTTTGTCAATAAAAAGGAAACTGGATATTAAGTAACCAGACAACTCAAAAAGACAATTATATAAATGGAAGACAGAATAAAGTGTGCAGTTGACAACTCTCACTTACAGTTTAATATCATAATAAAGTGTTACCATTGGATCGCTAATAATAAATAAAAAAATCATGTTGACTATTTAAAATGTTTATTTGATTTACATTATGTAAAAAAAGTTAAAAGACAAAAATACTATTAACACAACATCACACACAAAAAATAATTATAATAATAAGGTAACCCATGTCATCTTGCCTTTGTTCCTGGTTGGAGAAACACATTTGAACAGTCACGTTTCATACTTAGTGTTTACCCTCTTCACTCTCTTATCCTTCATAGTATTTCTCTAGCAAATACCTCTCAATATAGAACACCTTCCATTCTCCTTTCCTAACTCAGGCACTTGCATGTGTTGCACGTTTAAAGATGGACTGCTTTTATGGATGCATTTTATAGCAACCAGGAGCGGATGACCATAGAGCAAAGTCAGCATATGATTTCTGGTGCTCCCAGTATTGTCAAGTCCACTGGGCACCTATTTAACACTGGTTTAGTTTTCTGATAAACAAAACGAATGGAAAACAAAACACAAAATATTTTTAGTAACATAAAATACACATTTCCAAATGTAGTGTTAACAATAAACATGTTTATCAAATGTATGCTTGAAACCAGTCAAGCATGAATGTTGACGCATTTGACAATGATTGTAAAATATCTAAGCACCTTTAGTCAATGGTATGAAAATACTTTGGGCAATACTGACATATAAAAGATTGACAATATTATGGCTGCTCTGAGGTAATCCATTATTCACTAATGTGGACAATTGGTACTGCGAAACAGAGTTGCTTTTTATATCAATGTTTGCAATAACATTTACACGACAGAAATCAAATAGAAAAGAAATAAGAATAGAAATGGGTGCCACCGTCCTGTAAACCTTAAGGCCGTGTGTTTACACTTTTCTTGCTTCTCCTCATTCCACACCTTCCCTTTACTCATCAGTTCCACAGTGCAGAGTCTATAAAAAGTGCAGCTTGAAACCAAACAATTGAAACTTAAAGTAGATAAACAAGCAAAGTGATCTGTAGAGTTTTATAGTCTCAGAACCTACAATATTTATGACTATTTGTACTTGGCTGTAAACTAAAAGACTCAAAATTGAAACGTAGCGTTATAAAGCTAGAGTGTTTAAGTTCTCCAGGCTTGATTTGAAGCTCCAGCTTGCTAATTGTAAGGTTTTGTAGTATGTGTAATATAGAAGCATACTCCTATTCTAATCTAGACTCAATCTGCTGATATACACTGCTCAGATATCAAGTTTGACTTATTTGCATTTACTACGCAAAAAGCACAGAATGCTTTGCATATTATACTGAGGCACAATATCATGGAGGCTGTGAAAAGTCATTGATATATTGCTAGTCACTTAAACCTTTAGCGATACATATAAGGTTTGATTAACATAAGGATGTGCAAGTAACAGTGCTAAAGCACACTAAAAGGGAGAGTTACACAATTAAAAAGCAAGCAAACAAATTAGTATGGCCTGTTTGAACTTGCAAAGGATGGAATGAGATTTAAAAAAAGGTACCCATAAATAAAGATGTTAATTAAATAAGTTTTCTTTAGGCAGCGATGCCGAGAGTACCTAAGGTTTCTTGGTCAGGTAATTGGAAGGAATCCAGCCCTCCATCCCTGGCCCATCACTCACATTTTTACAAAACCACCAGCCGCTGCCACTTTTCTCCAGCACTTCGAAGACAGCGCCCTCTTTAAAGCCAGGTGTCTGCTCGTCTCCTTCAAAGTCCGCCACGGCTAAGAACAGCTCCTCTTTGGCTGGCTCCTTGATAAGGGGAGGGAGTTTGTCTCTCGGAGGCCCTGGTTTTTCTGTCTTAATGAGGGGCTTTGGTGGCACAGGTATTTTGGGCTTGGGTTCCTCCTTCTCCTTTTCTTTGGAGGCTGGCAAAGGGAAGGCTTTCGTTTTGGGTGGCGGGGGTCTGTTCTGAGGAGGGGGAGCCGGCTTGGCTTCCAGCAAGTCTTTTGGAGGAGCTTTGGTGTCTGTAGGACTGGCTGGCTCTGAACTCTTCTTTGGTGGTGGAGGCCTTCTAGGGGCCACAGATGGCCTCTGGGGAGGCTCTTTTGGTGCAGGTGTCGGCGGTTTAGTTGTTTCTGATGGGTTATGGCCGTTTTGTTGCTTAGGGGGGAATTTTGGCTCTTCATTTGTTCCGCCATTATTCTGGGGGTTACTGGATGGCATATCGTTCTGTTGGTTGGGATCACTTGAGTTGCCACTGAGCTCTGGAAGCTTAGACGGACGAAGTTTACTCCGAAGGTTTGTGATGTCCAGCTCACTCTTAGCTACCGGCTCTGGTTTCACTGCAGGGGGGGGCTTTGGTCTGACCACTGGTTTCGGCTTCAGGAAGGTGGCTGGGATGGCCGAATCAGGCTTCTCTTCGAGTGAATCTGGTTTGGGTTTGGGAGGCTGCTTGGCCACATGCTTTAGGTTAAACTTTTTCACCTCCTTGGCTGAGATATTGTGGCCACACTCCAAGCCCATTTCATTGCGCAGATAGAGTTGCTTGTTCTTCTCCTCCTTCTTTATCTCTGGGGGTTTGTCTGGTTTGAGAGGAGCTGCTTTTGGCGTCACCAATGGGACGATGACCCCTGGGATTGGTGGTTTGGGTGGGAGAGGTTTAGAAAGGTCTACTTTGGGTGGAAGAGGTTTAGAAAGGTCTACTTTGGGTGGAAGGGGTTTAGAAATGTCTACTTTGGGTGGGAGAGGTTTAGAAAGGTCTACTTTGGGTGGAAGAGGTTTAGAAAGGTCTACTTTGGGTGGCAGGGGTTTGGAAAGGTCTACTTTGGGTGGAAGGGGTTTAGAAAGGTCTACTTTGGGTGGGAGAGGTTTAGAAAGGTCTGCTTTGGGTTTGTCCTCCAATTCCAGGCTCTTGTTGATGGATTCTCTCCTTGGAGGTAAAGCCGGCTTTTCTTCAGCCGTAGGTGAGGATGGAGGTGGGGGTAAGGGTGCAGAAAAATGGGAGCTGCCCTTGACCGCGTTGGGCTTCCATTCTCTTAGCTTGGAACGGGTGGAAAATTCAGAGTTGGATGAAGGTTCGTCTGGCAAGGGTTTGGACCAACTATGTTCAGAGTTGGCATTATTGTTTGAGGTATCATCAAACTTCAGCTGACCCATCTCACCAGGAAGGGGAGCCAAAAAGTTAGGCCTAGAGGCATTGCAAGTCTTCTTGTATTTATCAATGAATGTGACTGGAGCCCAGCCTTCTTTTTCATCGATCTGAATGTACCACCAGCCACTGGAGTTCTTCTCAATGACCTGGGAATACAGGGTATGAGGTAAATGTAGAGATGCATTTGGAATAGATAGATGTATTCGAGTAATATGTTAACTCACTTCAACTTTCACTCCCGCCTGAAAGCTAATGCCATCTGGAATGGTTGTCTGAAAGTCAGCGATGGTGTAATATTCCTCCTCTACTTGCGGCGGCACTGGGGGTTTAGGCAGGTTCACTCCTCGTGGCTGGAATTAGAGACAGTTAGAACGTCAAAATCTTGAGTATCCTGTAGAACCTTTTAGAAATATTTGAGATGCAATTGTAAAAGAAAAATACCCCTTACTATTGTAAGATCCCGGCGTGGTGGAGGTCTCTGTCGAGCTCCTGCTTCTGCAAAAGAAAAGAGGGCCGAGTTTAGAGAGCCAACAATCTTTTCAAGCAAGTCTCTCTCACTTTCATTCATCTGCTCTTGTTATGGTCACCACAGTGGATCATCCGCGTGTTTATTTGGCATAAGCGTTACACTGGATACCCTTCCTGATGCAACTCAGCACTGAGAGTGCACTACAGTCTCAAGCAAGTAAAGGGAGCTAATCAGGCCATTATATTTTTGAAAGACTCAACTGCGGATGCATCAATATTTTTTACTTCAGCTTGGTGCCTTGATCACTCTTTTGGGAAGTATGTTGCAATAATGTCTGGCTGACTGTACATTAGAATGTACACACAGCCAATCTGAGAAATACTTGATTTTTTTTAAATTAGAATCGAACAAACTGTTGCTTACTGCGCTTGCTGTCTGAAAATGGCGAAAAGCGGTCCCGCTGATTCTCCTTGTTTTCCTTGTTGGCATTCTGCTGTTTGCAAGCCACGTCTAGGTCATTAGTGCTGGCATGAACAGGGCCACCAGCCGCCATCTTCTGACTGAGAATGTCAGCCTTCTTCAGATAGGACGCCGGGGCCCAGCCCTCTTTTCCTTGGTATCTATGGGGTGAAAAGGGCAATGCTCTATCCAAGAAAATGCTTAAGTATTTTTGTCCTTTTTCTGAGTACATTTGTTTTTACCTGATCTTCCACCAGCCTTCCAAGTTTTTCTGAATGACCTCAACAGTCATGCCTCTCTCCAAATCAATTTCATCTTGATCACGTGCAGAGTAAGGATAGATTGCGGTGTACTTTTCCTCTGAGGGAACGAAAGGAATATTTCAACTTTTTTTAGTTAAATATGCCGTTCATGAATAACATTCAACCACTACAGCCAATTTACCAGTTAATGTTTCTTTGTTTTGCACAAAATTAATACATATAATATCAATGTTCCACTAAAGCTTGACGACCAGAAATTTGAACAGTTTATCATTGTTTTATTAATAGATATGTGCAATTCTTTATTTTGATTGAAAATTTTGCTTGTGATATTTTTCGTTAAAATAAATGGCACTTGAATATTTTCTTATCCAATGCAATGACATCTAAACATTTTCTTAAAATGATTAATTGAGCTTACAATGCTTTCATTGTTTTGCTAAAATAGTTGAACGGAAACGTGGTAAATTTGATGTTGTGGTAAAATTTTCACTTTTCACATTTGTATTGATATTTTACAGTAAATGAGTGCTTGCAATCTGCATTTACTCTCGAGCTTTGTCATGAATAGCAGAAGGAGGAGGAGGTTGGGGGAGGATCTGATCAGAGACTCGACAGACTATTGACAGCATAAGCACATTTGCTGGGAAGAATGATTAATTTCACATGCTCACAACAAAATCACAATCTAAACATAACACGACTCCACCAGGTTCAAATGCTTCTTATATTCATACATTCAGTTTTATACCAGATACAAGCTTCAGTTTTAACTTTTTTTCTTGTATTTCTCCATTACTTTAATATTGAATACAAATATTTTGGTTGTGCAGCACAACACAGTATGAAACTGTGAATCATTCTGATTTACTTCTGATATAATTAACAGAATACCGAACTCACATTACTGTATGTATTTAACTGTGTAGTACGTATTGAATACAAAAGAAATGTAAAAATACTATTATTTAAAAAAAATAATGACTAACACACAGGTGACACCACTTCTAATGCTCTTTGCTTGTGTGATTAATTTGTTTAAATTGTGATTGTGTTTTATTGTCTGACATTTTTACAGAGGTTTCATGACAAGTCATGCATCAACCAACACCATTTATTTTGCAGGAGCATGAGTTATTTCATGTGCTTTGGTAATTATTTTTGTAAACAAGATATGATTCAGAAAATAAAGTATTGTACAAATAATAATAATAATGACACCTGTGTTACAATTCCCTGATTCATGCTTTGTTCAGTTCTACACCACATACAGTGCAGTGCATGCAATGGTGCATGCAGAAGTCACAAATGCGGGGGGTGAGGGAGACCATCACAATAGAGTGATAAAGTGGTATGCTTTCCACCTTGGCCAAAGCCTGTGCTGAACAGATCCCCTAAAGTACGCCGGCGACCAACGTGCCTCGGCAGTGACCAGAATCTCCGGCACACCCCAGCAGAGAGCAAGCAGACACATGTGAAAACCTTCAGGTCACGTTTCTTAATGTTGGGCCACCAAATATAATACAATCTTTGCCATGCAGTGCTGAAGTAAAACTTAAAAACTGCACTTAAATTTGAAAAACTCTATCCTTCTCATCTCTCTTTATGAATAACATCGGACTAAGACTTCCTTTCTATAACTTGGTTGAATGGTAAAGTGTGTAATTTTTGCGTCACTAAAGGGATTAGTGTCAAAAGTCTGGAATTCCTGGGTTCATATCATTTGCTTAAAGGGTTATTTCACCTAAAGAAGATATTTTAAAGAATATTGGTAATCAAACAGTTGACGGTACTTACATAGTAAGAAAAAAAAGACTATGTAAGTCAATGGCTACTGTCAACTGTCTGGTTACCAACATTCTTTAAAAATATCTTCTTTTGTGTTTAGAAGAAGTAGGAAACTCATAAAGGTTTAGAACAACATGAGGGTGAGTAAATTTGATGACAAAATATTGATTTCTGGGTGAACTATCCCTTTAAGCAATGCATATGAACCCAAGAACTCCATACTTTTGTAAAAACAACAACTGGTTTGCTAACTTTATATTGTTTGGGTTTCCACATTTGACACTTGGTGGTCTTAAAACTTAAAACATACTCAAAACTTGCTCATCAACAGTCTGATCTCTTAAGCCCAAAGTATACAGAGTGTGTTTTACATGTACACTAGGGTATGCATACAATGTGTGATGAGATTATAAACAACAAACCAGTGGACAATAATAAGAACACTCTACGAAGTTCGCTTTGAATGAATATAATAAAAGAGTAAAGTCAACAGTGTGCGGTAGAGTTTTCTTATTATTGTCATTTAAATTCGTTCCTGCTATCTACCTGCATGGACCTTGGGTTGAACTGGAATAACAAACTAGAGTGGAGTCGGCATCAACAATAGAAGAGTTTCAGAGATACGCAGCTCTAGTTTAAGAGTACAGAGACATTTTTATTGGTTATATCTTTTGGAAAGAAATAGCACAGACACTGGACAAGAATAACACTTTCTACTGTGCATGTGTTGAGTGTTTGCGCACACTATCAAATGGAGTATACCTTAAAAAAGGTTACGTGTTTAGGCTATACGTATACGCTAAGCATTCACGTCAAAACTAAAGTATACTTTGGGGGTTTGAAATGTAAAAGCACCCCCCCCCCCCCCATCAAATCGTACTATTTGAGGTATTAAGGCTATGGTGTGAAATTTGCAAGGGCCACTGTCTATTATCAATAGCACAGCTCACACAGAAGTCACTTTCAAAGCAAGCAGCTTTCTGTAGGTCAATGCGGCAAATAAACACGGCCAACTTGAACACAATGCAAAATTTACATGGGGAAATCTTTTGCCCTCAAGCAAAATTCAAGACTGTGTGGATTTCTATTGACATGACAGCAACTTTATAGTCTGGTTAAAACCAGACCATTCTCAGTTGTAACTGAGTTATGGTCTGGCAAAGCGTCATTTCCAGAGGGGCGTCACCAACGGACGTCGCGGATAGACCGAAACCCAATCAGAGCGATGAAAGAGATGACGTATGCAGAGCGGCGGAGACACATCTCCGAGTGTTGTTCTTTGCTCGGTTTTTAACTAAAAGGAAACGTTCAAATCGCTTAAAACAGACGCGATAGCTGATTTGAACGAGTGATGTTCGACGGCGGCATCCATCTTTGTAATGTACCGTATTTTCCGCTCTATAAGGCGCACTTAAAAGCCTTTAATTTTCTCAAAAAACGACAGTGCGCCTTATATATGGTTTGTGAACTCACGTTCACCAAGACGCGGAGACAGCGCCGGGCGACTTACGCCACTATCTGCCAATGGATCGTGGATGCCTGGGCTGATATATCACTCTCAACTGTGATCCGAGCTTTCACGAAGGCAGGAATAATCTCTTTATTCAGCCAGCTCACATACCCGTATTTACTGCCGAAGTCCACAGTAGTTGATAGTCGAGTTCGCGCGCGCGTGATCAAACCTCCTCCGTGTGTTCAACATCTGATTCGGATGAACTATCGGATAGTTACTATCCGAACTATCCTTTTGAGCTGATATTCTCAGAACACCACACAGCACCGTCATCAGCTGACAGTCTGAGTCTCCACTGTTGCTTAGTTACCGACAATCGCCTACTGTGGACTTCGACCGAAAACAGGAAGAAAATACGGGTATGTGAGCCGGCTGAATAAACATCATTTTTATTCATATCTTTCACATTTACTGCAGTCAGATTCACCGTGTTCACTCACATGGCTGTGCACTTGTAATGACACATTAAGGTTGTTAAGAGGCTAAAAGCAGGTTTAAAACTTGTCCCGTTTAAGTCAACAGGGTGCAAATTTTAAAAAGAGGATAACAAGGTGTAGGCAACACCGGTTTTTGTCGTTGTTATCTGTACTGACAGCACTCCAAATGTACAAAAAATGAGCTCAATGTTAAAATTGACCGGAGTTTTACTTTAACGTTTGAACAACGTTACCATGGGAGCTGGTACAGAGTTCTGAACGGAGTTGTCAGAAAGCTTAATAAAGTTTGACTTTATCTGACTTTTTTGTTGACATTTGTTGACATCTAGTGGATGCATAACGCAAACCCAGTTAAACGTTTGACTGCAGTATCTTATGCGCCTTATAATAAGATACTGCAGTATCTTATGCGCCCTATATATGAAAAATGTTCTAAAATAGGTCATTTATTGAAGGTGCGCCTTATAATCCGGTGCGCCGTATAGTGCGGAAAATATGGTAGGCTACAAAATCTGCTTCAAAATCCCAGCGCTGTCGTCATCGTGTAAAGCCCGCCCCAACGTTTCTGATTGGTGCCTCGATTTCGGCGGATTGGAAATGGGCTTGAATGAGCTCTTTGCCAGACTAACTTTCAGAGCAAATCTAAATTTGCCGGAAGTTGTCTGGGTTTTCCCAGGCTAGCAACTTTACACTTATAGGGCCTCATTTATGAAAAATTTTTGTGTAAATCGTTTCGTAAAGCCGTTCTGACGTAAATTTTTGGATTCAAAATGTTTGTTGGTACGACAGAAATTTACCACGCGTAAATGATGCGTAAAACATTTGAACGTTCTGTGTTCTAATTTAGGCAAACTTTTGCCTTTTGATGCACTATGTACCATAATAATATTTCACGAGTTTTTAGTTTTTTTTGACTGTTACACTTTGGGTAATAGGTTGCACTCGTCATTGTCACTTTACCCAGCGGTCCAATCACAGTGGAGGAGGGGCGGGACAAATACTACACCGACCAATCATCCTACTTGTACAATGACTGAACAACAATGGATAAGTTAATAATATTGCTGGTTACTGCATTTTTATATACAGTATATGGGCGAGGATTATGCTAATAGGCTTTATGCATAGCTTCACTACTACCTGAACTTCAGCCAGCCCTTTGTTTCCTGTCTGCCATTATTAGACAAACTGATTAATCCAGGTGTGCCTGATTATTGTTACTGAGGCCAGGCACAGCTGGATTAATCAGTTTGTCCAATAATGGCAGACAGGAAACAAAGGGCTGGCTGAAGTTCAGGAAGTAGTGAAGCTATGCATAAAGCCAATTATGAATGAGCATGCACACGCACCCTATTTATGAATGTTTGTAATTCATTAATACACACACGTTTAACTACCAAATCTGTGGTATACAAAGCGCTTGTGAATCCGGAGGAGAGTTTTCGTAAAGGTCCATTTTACCCGCAAATTACTTATATATTTATGAAAGTTTCATGAATGAGGCCCATAGTCTCTGCATTACACATTCAAAAAATTACACACTTCACCTTTAAGAGAACCCAAATCTGAATAAACAGGAGGTAGCACTTTTTGTTAAATTGTTGTAGACATTTTATTCAGGTAAGATTGACGTGGAACATTTGATGACATGCAGGACTCACCTTCTTCTGCTGGAAATGAGAAATCATCAGGGTCATCCTGAGCTTCCAGACATGTGGCTGGTACCCAACCTTGAGCATCATCGGAGCTAACAAACCACCAGCCTAGGAAAGGAAATAAGAAATGCCTTCTCAGGTGCTCACAGAAGAAAGACAATCATATGGGTTTGGAGCATCATGAAGGTATTCACTTAACGGAACAGGTCTGAATGACTTAATGGCGTTTGACAATAATAGTGAAGGATCCTACCGGACTCATTTTTCTCGATGACCTCCACCACCTGCCCCACGTACAGGCTGACCTCAGAGCTCTCCTGTTTCTCGTAGTCTGTGACGGCCACGTATTGGTCCAGCATCAGCGGGTCAGCTGAGGACGAGTCTCCTCCTGGAGGGACAGAGTGGACAGGTATCGACAACTGTCCTAGCGTGCCACCACCACCACCACGACAAGAGAAGAAGGAAGCAAACGTGATTGGAAAAGATCAAAGCAGGAAAGCCAGAGGTTTTAGTGCTGGGAGTCTTGCAAGGAAACAAACCCACACCAAATCAGCAACACTGCTACAGCAAATACGGAACAGAGCGGAATAATTATCAAATGGTAATTGTGATGAATCTATAAAGCACATTTACCTGAGCCTAAACAATATAATCCATGGTATAAACAACACCATTGCAGTGCTTTTATTAGTTTGGTGATTTGTACCAAAGAATTGAAGCAAAGACTGATTGTGTTCCGGCTGAATTCATTTGCCCATTTCTGTGAATGATTTCATGAGGGACTTTCAAAAACATGTCTGTCCATCTTAACTATTTCAGTGATCTCAGTTTGGGTTGAAACTCCAAATGTTACACTAACACTGAAATGTATGGTCAGTAAGAAAAAGTTTCTTGTGTTTACCAAAGCTGCATTTATTTGACTAAAAATACTGTTAAATCAGCAATGTGAAATCTTAAAATTACATTTACTCCTGAATGTTGGACAATGAAACTGAAATCTGGCCAATATAGTGTTGGAGGATTCATGCCTATATGTGGCCCTGGACCATGTGTCAATTGACAATCACATGAAAGCTGAATAAATAAGCTTTCCATTTATGTTTGGTTTGTTAGGATAGGACAATATTTGGCCGAGATAAAACTATTTGAAATCGGGAATCTGAGTGTGCAAAAAAAATCTAAACATTGAGAAAATCGCCTTTAAAGGTGTCCATTTCTGTTGGCGATTGTGCTGCATCCACTTACAAAAATAAAATTTTGATATATTTAAGGTAGGAAATTTACTAAATATCTTCATGGATCATGATATTTACTTAATATCCTAATGCTTTTTGGTTTTAAAAAGAAACATCGATAATTTTGACCCATACAGTGTTTTGTTGGCTATTGCCACAAATATATCCGTGCAACTGGTTTTGTGATCCAGGGTCACACATATGCACGGCCTAATGGCCAATCTTCACTGATTTTACATTCCATCATTAAGAGCCGAGTGTGAAGGTTGAGTTAGAAGAGCGATAGCACAGCTGTACATAAAATATTGCAATCCTCCACACAATATAATGGGAGACATATCAGAGTTCAAAAGAGCACAAATGATTGGTGAGTGGCCCATCTGTGACAGCAAGTCACTGTGGTGTATTAAGAGCAATGGTATCCATTATGTCGGCATACCTCCACATAGGACGAACCACAAGAAAGGGATGTCCAGGAACTCACCTGGATTGTATCCAAAAAACAAAACCACAGCTGCCCAACTCTCTCCCCACCTCGAATCTCCTGTTTCCACCAAAACTGTTCATTGTGAAACTCCACAGATTCAATGTTCATGGTGGGGCTGCTATAGCCAAACCTTTGGTCACTCATGCAAATGCCAAATATTGGTTTCATGTGTGCCAACAGTGCAAATCTTGGGCTGTGGAGGAAGTGAAACATTTATTGTTCACTGAGTTACGGTGTGGAAAAGCCCCAAAGAGGCTTCGCACCCCGGACTGTTGCTGCTCAGAGTGAAGGAAGGGTGATGGTTTGGGCTGCAATATCATGGCAATCCCTACTGTGCTTGATCGTCTACTGTCACTGCAAAAGGTCTACCAAACCGTTCTGGAGGAGCATGTGCACCTAATGGTTCAAACATTGCACCCTGAATGGGGTGCCATGTATCAGCATGATGATGCACCAATACACACAGCAAGACTGGTGACAGTAGTTTGGTGAACATGAAAGTGAAGTTGAACATCTATCATGGCCTGCACAGTCACCAGATCTAGAGCTACTTGGGATATTTTGGAAGCAAGTCAGAAAACGTTTTCCTCCACCAGCATCACACAGTGACATAGTCTCGCGTAGCCGGATCTTCAGACCGATGGCAGAAGGTCTGGACTCCATATCAGCTTTCATTGGTCAAGGACCGCCCAGAGGCTGTATGACTGACATGTAAAGCAACCAATCACAGTTTGTTTTGTTCAACGCCATGTTTAGGGGAGTGAAAATGTAACGTTGATGTCCCTACAATAACAGACCGTTGAGTAAAGATCTTTGACGTATTTTAAAGAGTATATGCCGCGAACAAAACCAGCGTTTAGTTGAGTCTGATAAGCGCTCATTGTCACAGTTGTAAAGAAGGCTTCTTCTTCCATGAAGGCGTTTGGCGTCACGGCATCTTTGCGGACAGTTCCAATCAGATGACGACTTTGAAACTACTGAAGTGTTTCCAATTTCGTGAGTCATTCACATCAAACGTTCAGCCAACGATCCGTGACGTCTGAGGCGGAGATTAATGATTAACCCTTCCACTGTTCTGGAAGAGGAATGCCTCAACATCCCTCTGACCACTGTGAAGGACTTGAATCTGCCATTCCCAAGACGAATCAATGCTGTACTGGCCGCAAAAGGAGGCCCTACACCATACTAATAAATTCAGGAGTTCATTTACCCATATAATCTTTAAGCTAATAAGGTTGGGGCTCGAGGAAGCAGCTTCAACTGGAGCTTAGATACACCCCCCAGTGGGACTACTAATGCTTGGATGAGGAGTATGGTAGCAAGATGCCTAAATTATGTTGGTGGAGTTGGGGAGGTGGAGGGATATGCCAAAACAGCTGATGCCAGAGCAAGGTGAGCGGCTGCTTATATGCTCCGGCGGTTAATCGAAAGATTAGATGGATTCACTCCTCCCGAAATTACGTATGTGAACCTCACTTATTGTGGTCTAAAACCAGGTGTTTTAGTTTCATTGTCCAACCCCTGTACTGCATATATATTGACCCCAAACCATTGAACGTGTATGTGTAGTGTACGCATTTGCTGAAACTGCTTGGCTATCTTAAATTATATTAATGTTTAAACATGAAACAATTCAAAAATGAAAATTGTTATGATTTTCTCTCTCGTGTCATTCCACAGCCATGAGACTTTATTTCTTCTGTGAACAAAAAGGAGATGGGATGCTCCTTTCCATAAGATGACAATTATATCCACTCATGTGCTATATTCCAAGTCTTCCGAATTCATAAAACAGCTTTGTGAAATAGACCGGCATTTAAGCTGTTATTTACTGATGACCTTCAGGATTTTCAAACTTGGTGAATGAAGACAGTTGTGCCAGGTCTGACGTCGGTGATACCAAACGCCACTGGTTCTTTCAACAGTGATCTGCCAAATGTGAATACACTTGGTGAATTATGTTTAAAATTTTGATCTGTTCCCCAAGCAAAGATATCATATGGCTTCAGAACACTTGTATGGACTACTTTTGATGCCTTTTGATAACTACACAGCTACTAGTTCCTGTGTGATTTCAATGCATAGAAAAGATTAGCATTTTCAAAATCTCTCCTTTATGGCTTTGGAACAACATAAAAGTGAGTAAATGATAACCAAATATTCCTTTGATATAAAGCATCCTGATTACTATAGATGATATTCCTCGCTTCTTATGATTTGGAAATCATTCACAGATAAAGTATTATTTCCACTAAATTAACAAAAACGATGTTGTCTAAAGCATGTACAATTCTGAATGACTACAGTTTAGAATATATATATATAAATCTGTAAGCCCCGATGAACATTTTAATCACAAGGTTAAAGAGAGCACATAAGAACACAAAAAAACACCTCTAATGCACTAAGATATACAATACTAAAGTGATCAATTTTGCGAATACTGCAGTGCAAATTAGAATCTCTACTTTGCATCACGCAAAGCAGGTTAAGAACACATCTGCCTCATATTCTAGCTCAAAACACATGTTTTTGATTGTATTTGTATCTATTTGGTGTTGGCGCTGCTCTCTTTTACCTTCTGAAAAAAGTGTTAAAACTGCTAAAACCACTACTACTAACACTAGAACTTGTACCACTAGCATTACATACTAGTGTAAAAACTATCCTGAACAAGGGATCTGCTAAACGGTCCTCCAGTAAAGCACCACCACCACCACACTGCCATGCACATCACACAGGATCTGAGCACAAAGCTTTAGCCTTGCCCACCTAAAGAACACCCTTCTACAGAAGAGCCGCACTTCGAGGGGTCAAACACAAAGAGCATGGCTAGGCAAGTATCTGTTACTACCTCTCTTTAGGAAAGAAGACGCTCGCTCCACAATGCCTGATGAGGGAACATGAATGAGAGCAGGAATGAGAGAGTGGGAAGGTGGAAATGTTCAAGAAACAAAGGAATGAAAGCATCCACATTTATGGGTGGATTTCCAAGTTTCTTGGATGATATTGTATCTCACATGAAATTTTGACTCGAGGGATCTATGAAGTGCATGGTCACCAGAGGGCACACTAACCACAGTCAGAGTGAATTACAACTCGAAAAATACAACTTACTCATGGCACTTTCTCAAAACAAATCAGTTCCTTACCAGATTTCTTTTTCCCACTGGGTTCCCTGTAAATAAACACATTCAAGTTAGGTATTTATAATGTTAAATATGATTTTTTGAATGCAGTATCATTGATATTATCGTTATATTTTGGACGATATTTTCAGATTTCATTTGAAAGTTTTAGTAATTTTAATAGTAAATAGTACAATCGTAATTGTGAAATACCGGTAGTACAAAAATTACTAACAAAAATAGTTTTTTATCATTTTTATTAGTTATAAAACAGTTTGTTTTTCTTATCAATATAGTTTTAGTTGTTCGTTTATGTAGTTGTAGTTATTTTAGTACTTACATTTTATTTTATTTCAGTTAATGATTATTTTATTTCTACAATATATATATATATATAATGATTTTAGTTTTAGCTATCGATAATAACATCAAATAAAATATCTAAGCAATAAAACTGTGAGTCAGCACTCAGCAAGAGTTTTGGCAGAGAAAAAAACATTTTAAATGTATTATTCATTCAGTCATTTTAACAGTGAATTTGCCATGATTATTGATCATGATTATTTTTGAGTTTTCCTCTCCACTGTCAGCTTTTGCTTGATTGCTTTACACAAATATTCACTCAAGCTGCTTTGGAAAAATATTTACATGTGATAAATATAAATTCAACTAAAAATGGTTGTCTTCGGGTTAACGCTGCATAATATAATAGTGGGTAGAATACAGAGTCAGCAAAATAAAAAGTTAGTATTTTGATAATTTGCTTTTAAATATATCTAAATTGGTGTTTACATGTGACAAGATATATAACTGCTTTAATAAATTTAGGAAAGGGTCACTACAAAGGGAAGATCATACTTGGGGGTTTTGGAAAATCTCAGTGCTAGTGAACGCCTACAAGATGACAATAAATGTCTCCAAATAAATGCTTTCTACACTGAGAACGCCAACTCCTCCACATACTAATGATCCTGACTAGCGATAGCAAGCAGCAAATCATGGTTTAGTCGAGCTGTGGTGTAAACTAAAGGCTAGTGGTGATTCATTTTGGGACATTTATTGATTTAACTGCTCAATATGAATTAAGGCTCGTTAAGTTATTAAGCAATTATTACGTTGTAAATGTTTTACTGATTTTGAAAGTGTGTGTGTGTAACTTACTCTTTAGGTGGGTCCAGGTCTTCAGGACGCGTCTCGAAGAACACACGAACCTCCTCGCATTGGGAAATATACACTGGCAGCTGGATCAGAGCCTGAGACGACAATATTCACAAATACTCGTTATTATGACGCACATTCAGAAATGTGAGTTGTCGATAAGAAGCTCATCAATTTATGTACTCTTCCTTTGTTCAATTTCAGTCAAAATGTACAAGGTAATAAAACATTTAATTTTAGTCAATAAGTCATTTATTCTCCAATCATCTAAAGAACATACTTTTACGGCTTACATGACATTCTTTATAAAAACAGCATAAAGTCAAACGCCTCAAATAAAAACACAGTTCCCACAGCTTCCCATATACAGACACACATTCACATTGAGAGTGATTTGCAGTGCCAATGTGACTGGAAGTCATTCGTTTTCATGTATCATGTCTCATCATTACGCAGCGATTCAGAACATCACTGACATTACCCTCGAAATCTCAGTTGTATGCTTTCATTGAAGGCAAGCTGTTTAGAGGTGTCTGCTTTATCAGCTGAGAGTCTGAAATCGCAATGACACCCACATGAGCTTTTCAGCGGCAAAACAAACCAAAACTGCAGCAGACTTCTAGTCCCACATTAAATGCAGCTTAATGTGCCTTCTGGCTGACACAAGATGCTTTTTGCAGTTATATATTTTGGCAGAGGAGCTTTTATTTAATAAAGCTGAGTGCCTCAGTGTCCTTCAGAAGGGGGTCCCGTCTGTCCACGTGCTGAATTATGATGTCTGACCTGACAGGAATTTTAAAATTCAAAGCTCAGACGCTTCTGCTCAAGGTGCCCTTTCCGAAATTCAGCCTGAGCCAATTCTTCACAGTTGGGTTTGACTCGCCAAATACACTCAATGTGCACATTTGCGTGTTTGCCCAATGCTCAATTTTCTTAATGAAAAGGGTGTTTTTATGCCAAAAAAACATGCTTATTTTATTAAGAGACGGAACCAACGGAGGCTGTGTGAGGCTGATGTAAGATTGACCTCTTAGCATTGGGTTTGCATGATGATTGGATGGATATGAATCTGATTCATGTCGGTTTCCATGGATATCACTGATGTCCACAGATTGATGTCTCCCCAGGGTACAGTACCTGACCTCCCTACATATTAGCATTCCCCGAAGACACAGGCTATATGGAGACCAATTATAGTAAATGGACTCGATTGGGTGCTCTTTACTGGGGGTGCATTACCTAGATTGTTTTGTGCGAGTAGTAAGTGGAAAAGAGAGAGGGTGAGAGACAGAGAGAAAGAAAAGGCTCTTCGTGTATATGCCCACATAAGGCTATGGGTGGTTCATAAAGGAATAGGTTATTGCTCACTAAATACTGCAGTATATACTGTAAACTGCCTACCTATTTAAATATTACTGCAAGTGTTGTCCAGTTGTATCTCGGATGTTTAACCCTATAGAGCCTACTTTAATCAACATGATCAAAACTTTGCTGAAAAATAGCAATACTGTTACAAAAATCTCTTTGATTTACATTACAAGCTATCAGAATTTCATCTTACTTTTTGTCCATTTGTTTTTCATCTTCGAGTATGAGCACTTTATTTTCCATATTCCTTTATATCATACCATATGAGCCATAAAAGCCTGATGTCAAATACATTGATTCTTAAAAAACAAAAGACAGAAAAAAAAAAATATGGACGTTTTTTATTTATATTTTCTCTAAAGGTTCAATACTGTTTCATTTGAAAAAAAATAAAATAATATCAAGGCTTTACAGGGTTAAATGGATATTTTTCCAGCAAAACTAACTAAATAAATACAAATATGTTTGTTTTTCTTCATGTTTTACTTGTAGCAGTCTGATAAAAAAATATTGTTTTGAATAAAATTCAGATTACAAAAACCAAACAAGTTCTGAAGCAATCGCTAGTATATCTGATTATCCAATAAAATAACCTCAGGAGTGCCATGGATTTCCACTAACCCGACAAAACAAATATCTTAACAGCATTTCTGACCTTTCACCCCAATTAATATAGATCATGTTCCAGCATTCAAAAAGTGAGTAGGTCAGCTGAAAGGGCATTCACACTGACAGTTATGAATGTGTCGGAGTCTCTGTGCTGTTGGTTGCTAATAGAGGGCATTCCCACCGTATCCAGCTGTATCTGCACTTTATGACATCACAAATGACCCGCCACTCACACACAACTCTCAGTGAAAAGAAATGACTTCAGTATCATGAAAGATTCAATCCCGATCCTCTTTGGACCTCAAGGGTTAGCTTTTTGTAATGGCTGATCAGAAGCGTCCATCATAGTTCCTGTTATACATTTATGAGATTGTGTAAATGTGTCAGAAACGGAGGATGCAGATGAAGGAATATCAATAACACATTCTTTAATTTATCCAAAATCCAACAAGGAAATACTCAGGAGATCGAAGGAATAAGCTATGAACACAACCACGTAAAAATAAACGGAGAACTGAAGGCTTAATGCACAAGGGAGGCTGATGAACAGAAACTGAAACAGGTGCGCAACATAAATAGTAACCAAGGAAACTAGTGAATACAGACAGGGCAAATCAAACTAAGGGGGCGTTTACTCTTTTCAACTAAAAACGGAAAAAAATGTATGCGTTTTGGCCGTTCATTTACACCACAACGGCAATTTGGGGGCCTGAAATCTCAAACTTTTACAGTTTCAAAGTGCACGTTTTTGAAAATGATACCGTTATCATCTCTGTGTAAACAACCAAAACGTAAATTTGTGAAAACTGTGACGTCATGCGCATACATATTACGTGTTCAGTCTATAAGCGCGTGGTGTTACTTTACAAAGTGACATCGCCAACTACTGGCCTGGCAGCAGAATACAGCTTTTTTTTTTATTCGTTTTCGCGGATCCGTGTGAATGGGGATCGATTTGACAAAGTTGTCGTCTGTACGTGAAAAACGCAAAGGACAAACCTTTCCGTTTTTAGTACATCGTTGTCGTGTAAGCATACCCAAAAACTTAGCATACTTATTAGTTAGCATGCTAAACCCTGCATCTGAATGTGCAAAAGTATGTGAAAAAGAGTTGTATGTCTGAGTTCAAACACATACCCAGATGACCTACTGCTTCCCGCAAGTTTCTGAAGTGCAATTTGATGGACAGGAGTTGTGAATGGCAGTTTCAGTAACAAAACTGATGCCGTAAATCGCAAGACAATGACAACATGGTGGATACAGTACATCAGGATTTCATTCATACCACACATATGCATACTATATAGAACATACAGTATCTATGTAGCGGATAATCCTTCAGTTTAAATACAAAAATAATTAAATTCAATTTAAAAGACATGAATTTATGTATTTTCATAATTAGGAAGACTACAAAAATGTTGAAAGCAATACTGCAGAATATGCAGGACAGTCTTTCAACCACTGGTATCAGTTCTTTGGGGTTCACATAAAACTGTCTAAAATAACGGTCTCATAAGACTCAGTCATTTGTAAATCATACTGCAATGATCTAACTATATGTTTTTTTTTCTTCTTCTTAATTTATGCACCTCCAGTTTAGGCATAATTTCTTATAGCCAACCACAACAGCACTGATTCATCAGCTGACGATGACATAGTTACAGTCAAACGTGTCTAATGAGAGAGGAAAAGAGGTAAAAACGAGTCACAGATCATGACCGCTCACACAGGCACCTTAAAAAAAGAAAAACACTTAAAGCAACATTTTAAAAATCAGTTTCCGTTGGAAACAGCCCTTTAAAAAGTCAACAAAAAGCCATGATGTGCTGACGAAGGCTAACTCAGCGCAGCTCCAAACCCCTGCCCTAAAGGAGACATTACGCTGCCAAATGTGGATTCCTAGCTTTTTTTTCCCTCTTAACCCTTCTACCAAAAGCCCAACAGTCACTTAAGAGTCTTAAGACAGAACAGTCTTTCATGTTAAGCCGTATAAAAACTGATCCGAAGTTGTAGAATTAATATTTGATCTCTCTGAAAGTCAACCTACTTCTGGTTCCTGCTTACATCATTGAAAAATCTCTGTACACGTCTTATAAAGGCCAGTTTGTTACAAATAACCGAACTGAAGCTATGCTTTTTGAAATGGAATTTACACTGGCTAAAGGTCAGTTTACACCTAGACGAATATTTTCAGACCAACTTTTTTACCATACCCTCCAACAGCTAAAAGGACGAGTAAAAAAACATTTTATGAAAGAATTCATATAAGGGTGAAAATACACTTAAGGGTCCTTTGTGACTTGAAATCTTGAAAAATGTAACATTTTCATCTATTTGAAAAAATCATCACGTTCTGGAATAAAGGTCTGAACAACCTTCACATGCATTTTGGTACAATGTGTGGTGGTGAGTTTTGTTGATATTATTTGTGATGGTAATGACATATTCTTAAAGGTACACTATGTCAATTGTGGCCCTCTAGCGGTTAAACAAAACTGAGTGCATTTTGCAGAAGAACATTGTTCTGTTTGTGCTTTGGTTGGTAGTCAAACGCTTGGGGTTACTTAACTGTATCCCTTGTTTCCTGAAAAAGCAGAATGAGATGCTGTGCTGCTCAGCGCATTGGGAACGTCTTTAAACGTGACCAGCTGTGAATATAGTGTGTAAACCATAGGTGTAAACACGTCAATAGAATTGACCCGGAGGTATTACTAGTGGAGGAAGCCAGGGGCGGACTGGCCACCTGGAGCACCGGGACTTTTCCCGGTGGGCCGCTGGCCAATGTGGGCCGGCCCGGTACACAAATATGCCTATATAAAAAAGAAATCATAATATTACATTTCTTTTCTACGCAAATGGATGAGGGAATCGATTAGGGCTGAAACGATTCATCGAGTTACTCGATTACAAAAATGCCTCGAGGCAAAAACTCTGCCTTGAAGCCTCGTTAAATTCCTATGACGCGCAGGGATCTATATACTATAGCGCGTGATACAATTTGAACTTAGTTGGCGCATGGCGGGGAGTAAAGATGTCCATAAACGGCAGAGAATGTCTAAAGTTTGGGATCATTACATACTTAAAAAGGAAGAGAACAAGGTGCAATGTGTCTACTGCATGCAGACCTGGCATACCACAACAGTAGGCCTACGACTTCAATGATTCAGAATCTGAACCGAAAACATCCACTCCATGCTGTCTCACCAAGCGTCGCTGAAACAAGGTAACCTAATGTTGTGTTCAAACGAACGCGAATAGACGGTCAAATACGCGTCTATCGCGTCTAGTTAGACGCTTGAACATTCGCTCGAGTTCAAATTTTTCAACTTGCGCGGAAGACGTTCACGGCAAACGTCTCCCAATTCGCGTCATTCGCGACGCCCGGCGCGAATGATGCGTATATTCGCGTCTTTGCATGTAATCTACTCGCGCAAATAATTTAATTTGCGTTCGGTGTTCACACACACACGCATGCACCCTCGTCTCTCTCACGCGCCAGTCAGATCAATTGCGGCAATGCATCACATATGCTTAAACTTTTATGTAGCCACGCAACAATAATTTCAGCATGCCTTCACTGTATACACCGGGACGTGATGGAGGAACAAATATTGTATTGCAGTCTTTGCGAGACCTTGTTTGTATGTCACGTCTTCCAAATAGTTACAGACAACAACAAAAAATGAAATTCCCCAGCCTGCTTCTCCAAATCCATTCGCACTTTCGGGGAAGACATTTTAATCGGCTACTTTAAGTAATTGAGCATAGAACATTGTTGGCACTTATACTAAATGGGTAAAAATTTCAATAAATAGGCTTAGTTTTGGAGCCAAATGTTGAAGTTGGAATAAATACTAGTTTTTTGTTTTTTTGTTTTTTAGAAATAAAAGCCAAATGCTTGATAATTTTACAGCCACATAATTTTCGTTATGCATTATTTGTTTTGGTTGTTTAAAAACACACATTTTTTTTAATCCGATTACTCGATTAATCGATCGATTAAGTGCTAGATTAATCGATTACAAAAAGAATCGATAGCTGCAGCCCTAGAATCGATCGCGCGGGAGCGACCCGACAAGGAGTGTGTTTCGTGTGCATGCATGTGAGTGTATTGCCCTCCCTCCCTGTTAATTAGTTTGGTCTACTCCATTGCGTATCTTGAAACACGCCCTCTTTCGCGTCCTGGAAACACACCAAGCCGCGCAGAAAAAAAGCCAACTCCCTCGCGTCGCCTGTGTCGCGATAAAAAAGCTGCACTTGAACCGACTTGAACACACCGAGAGAACTAGGTAGATGCTGTGAAATGCTTCAAATTAACAGATTATACATTTGGCACGAAGAGTAGCAGTTCGGCTCTAGCTCCCTCTGACTCGCTGATATTAGTCTTTATAGTTTTATATTAATAATGTTGTGTGTCTTAATGTTCTTCTGTTTGTTTCCCATTGGTTTACAAATATGACCAAATATATGTTGTGTTTCTTAAAATAAATGTTTAAATAGCATTTATTTTTGCATTGTGTTATATTTGTATGCTCTAAGTGGTGTTAAAAATATTCTGCACATTAATGGGCCAATGTGTTTTGATGTGGGATGTGGTGGGCTGCTGTGGGCCAGAAAGTCCAGGGCCACTTTTTGGTCCCAGTCCGCCCCTGGAGGAAGCCCTAGCACTCAGAATGGTCTCAATAACGTCAGGGAAAAGCCCAGTCTCCCTCAGTTGGTACCCATCAGGGGCCAAACATGAAGCTTCCACAGGTCGGGCCTGGGATGGAATATCGTGCCCTCCGCCTGAGACAGAAGGTCCCTCCTCTCCAGTTTCGCACATGGCGAGCACTTGAGGAGAGATATTATCTCCGAGAACCATACTCTGTTCGGGCAACGCGGCACTATCAGTATGAGGCAAGACCCTTGTTGGCGAACTCTGGCTAGAACTTTCGGGAGCAGTGCGACTGGAGGAAACGCATACAGGCGCTTTTTGGGCCATGTGTGCGCCATCGCGTCCAGACCCAGGGGGGCTGGGTGACTCAGAGAGAAGTAGAGGGGACATTGCGCTGTCTGATAAGAGGCGAAGAGGTCCACCTCCGCTTCGTAAAATCTGGTCCAGATCTGTTTTACTACATCTGGGTGGAGTTTCCATTCCCCCATCGATAGTTTCGGTCTGGACAGTAAATCCGCTCCCACATTCAGATGCCCTGGAGTGTATATTGCTCTGAGTGACAGGAACTTGTCCTGGGCCCAGAGAAGAATCTGTCTCGCTATTGTGTTCAGATTGCGTGAGCGCAGACCTCCCTGGTGATTTATGTAAGAGACTGTCAAGAGATTTATAATGTTACAAAATGTTTCTATTTCAAATAAATGCTGTTCTTTCTACCTTTCTGTTTATTAAAGAATCTTGGACGTTGAAACTGTATTATGGTTTCTACACTTCTTTAAGCAACATTGATTACTTTTGAACAGTAATATAGATCAATGTACAATGGACATCAAAGACAATTTAGCTAAGAACATTATTTTTTCATTATTTACTGAAAATCTTCTCATTCACGGTAGAGTAGCTCTCATATATAATCTGCACTTCCACATATTCAAAGTTTAGGTTTGAAATGTGAGAACTTATGCTATTTGCTGTCACTGACGTCAAATCTGACACGACACCTCTTGACGTGCCATATTTAAATATATTGCACTGAATGCGATTCGAGATGAACTCGAGAACTACTATTATGGTGCTATTGTGTCCTTCAGTCACTGGTCACTGTCTAATGTCATTGTATGGAAAAGAGCAGCTTGGCAGTCTGCTGAATTTCTCCTTTCGCGTTTCATGGAAGAAAAATAGTCATACAGGTTCACGATGACATGAGGGTGAGTAAAGGATGACCGAATGTTTATTTGAGGTGACTTCTGCAGCATGGACTGGGCTGTGTGCATTGAAATATTATAAATGTAAATATTCAATAGTGTTCATTTTATTGTGTAAAAATAATGCTAATCACAGGTGAGCTGGTTTGTTGTGTGTACTGTTTGTTGTCTTACTTACCCTACAGTACTCGTTTATGGGTTTCAGGCGTTTCATGGCCACGTCTCTGATGTGGCTTCTCCTGAAGAGAATCTTTCCTGTGAGGAAAAGAAGACGATTATTATAAACACACCCTGTATTCATCAGCATCTTCATTCTCAAATTCATCAGCACTCTTTACAGGGGTTGAAAGGCAAAAGGGAAACTTTTGGGAATGTCCCTTCATGCTTTATGACCATTTTATCAGATGTTGGAAGACCACAAGCATGAAACTTGCCCAAACAAAGATTGTGGCCCATAAAACAATACCAAGAAATGAACACAAATGAGACTCTTAAGTTTTATGACTCATATCCTGCTGAACTTAAACCATATACTGTGGTCCCTTTTTGCTGAATGTAGTAAAACATTTTTTTTTAAAGTGAAACATGTGGGAAAACAACTAGGCTATCCCACACAATGCCCTAGGGTCATAGATCTTTTAGCAATGGCACATTCAGAAGAATGAGGCTGAAAAACACCTTGGTGTGTGTGATGTGGTGTGTATGTGTTGGGTTACTGCCCCAGACCTCATGTGCTGAGTGGAGCTGGGTAGAGTCCACACCCTCTCACAATGGCCTCGGATTGGTCAATTTACCACAAACCCTGTTACACATGGCATTATCAGCCACCTCAAACGATTCAATGATCCAAATGATCAAGGCAACACAGACCATTTACACCTGGTATTTACATGTGACTCCTGTGACCACTTGTGATCAGATTTCAAGGGGAGGATCTCTTTACCAGGGCCATAGATCTTACAGCCTGTTTACACAACACCGTTTTCAACTTTTTATGCGTTTTGGCCGTTCATTTTGGGTGCCTGTAAACGCAAACGTTTGACAACGGGTTTCAAAGTGCACGTTTTGGAAAATGGTCTCCGTGTAAACAACAAAAACGCAAATCTCTGAAGACGATGACATCATGCACATGCGTATTACGTGTTCAGTCTACAGTGTTTCATCGCCATCTAATGGCCTGGCAGCAGAATACAGCGTTTTATTCGTTTTCGCGGATCTGTGTGAATGGGATCGTTTTGACTATGGTGTCGTCTGTACACGAAAAACTCAAAAAGGAAAAACTTCTCCGTTTCAAGTATATCGTTGTTGTGTAAACGTACCCTAAGCTTGTATGCATTAGCGCTTTTAAAAAAATAAATATCTGAATTGAAGCAATGCTTTTTGAAATGGAATTTACATTGGCTAAACGTCAGTCTACACCTAGATGAATATTCAGTTTTTTTACAGAGATATGTTCTAATCACTTTTCCATTGCACTGCGAAGAAAACTGTTCAACTGAAAGTTGCATAGTGATTTGTGTACCAGAGTGTACCAGAACTGAGGTATTTCTGCTTTTCTATAAGCATCACTTCCTCTCAGAAAGTTTGCACCATATTTAGCCTATCTGCCGTTTTAATGCATTGCTCTGAACAGACAAATCAAATGTGAAAATTTGACTGAATTTTTGCAACAAACATTTATGTCAGTGTGAACAGGCCTTAAATTGTGTGTGTGAGAGAGTGGTACAGTGTCTTTTAACTTAACATAGTTTGGTTTGACAAGGACACTTGACAATAATAAACCTGATAACTGTCTTTCACAATAAAAACATGCGATAATACAAAAAGGTATCTACACTATCTCATTGACTACTACAGTAAATACTGTGCGTGTATATATATTAGGGGTGGAACGGTACACAGAAGTCACGGTTCGGTTCATACCTCGGTTCAGACATCACGGTTCGGTACGTTTCAGTACAATGGAGGGAAAAGCAAAACAAAAATGCAGAAGGCATTGTATTTTTTAAATACGTTTTTTTAATTAAGGCATAGAACCAGTTTATTTGTAGTGCACTGACAATAGTTTTATATAATTAGTTTATTAATTAAATTAATAAAAAGACAAAAAGACCTTGCGATATGTTTGGTAAT